TGACTGTATAAACACAGGAAGTGTCTGTCTAAACCCACGAAACACACTTAATGCAGTCTATTAGTGCGACAGGATGGGCTCCAGAGCACTGCCTCTCATCATCTGTGAGTATTTGATCATAATACAGTTATTTTCTGTTTTTAATTCAATTGTATTCAGCCGAAGACAAAAGCAGGATTGTGTGTAGTGTGGTGTTTGAATTCAGTCTTGCTGCTTATTGTGTTTATTGTTCAGATTTAGTTTGATTATGTGTTACATGTTGATCAGTTGCAGAAGTGGATGACTTTTTATTGTTTATCTGATACATGTAAATGAGACTGGGACACATGGTATTTGTTAGCTGGACACGTTGTCTGTTTTCTTCTATCATCATGTGCTGAGCGCATTAACTGGGAAGTTAATAATAACATTTTTCCTAGACAATAAATGCACTAATACAAAACACCAGCAACAGGCAACAACATCATTAGCAGTTTTTTTTATCTGTGGTGTATTGATTATTATAGTGCCAATACTGTGGTAAGAATGACATGGATTCCATTAAACCACTTGGTCTTCTGTTTTTTCCATTATTGTATTACACTCGTTGTGTAAATGATTTTACATTGTATTTGTGTTTCATTAAATACCTGCATGTAATTACATCTGTAATTGATTTCTGTAAGTGCATTTGTACACTGTTGACTATCCCTTACACATTAACTCACCCTCAAACATACCCATACCACCAAACCTGCCCCAAACCCAACCTGTATCCCACCTCAAGAGCAGCACAAGTGTCATACAATACATTAAGTGCATTGTGTTTATTTTTTGATGCAAGTTAAGACCACCTTAAATCAGTGAGATTTTTGACTTTTAATAAAACAAGTTCCTTTCCATTAAACAAAAATAGAGAGAGATGTGTTATCCATTTAATTGCATTTGAATGACCCAGTGAGAAGACAATGTGTGACACAAATTTGCAATAATCTAAATTAAGTTTATTCATAAACTAATTTCGAGAGGATCACGTGCTTATGATTTATCACGGCCGGTCTTGCATTTGCTAATCACTATCTTCCAATCATATGAGCCCTAAGCTACTATAAATAACCACAGTTTCCAGCTCATTTTATCCTTTGTTTGGACGAAATCCCCCTCCTCCCCTAGCCCCACAGCAAGAACACTGCCAGCTTTGGTTCCACAGGACCGGTGGGTGTTTCTGTGGGGAGTTTGTATGTTCTCCCTGTGTCCGCGTGGGTTTTCCCCGGGTTCTCCGGTTTCCTCCCACCATCCAAAGACATTCAACATACTTAACAATCAAGCTTTGTCTAACCCCTTGTGTTCCCTTAGCTACTGCAGCTCAGGCTCCCCTCTCGCTCTGCCAACGGGAGGAAGCCCTGGGCTCGAGGAGCCCTTGAGCTCGGGGCTCTCTCCCGGGAAAGTATGCCAAACAAGCTTTTATAAATCATCAGCTAAGTATGAACTCTTGAATTTTGACAAAGAGAAAAATTAGTCAAAACACACAAATGACATTTAAGCACCTTCAGTTGAGAAATGGTCATTTGCAGAGGGTTGAGTTAATGAAAATGCTTCATCTCTGTTCTTCTGTTATAGGTCTGATGTCCTTCACTCATTCTCAACGAAATCAAAATTTCAGAATTGCAGGTACTGTGCAGTGCAATGTTTTAAAGCTACAACATGGATCACATCAGAATTCTCATTCTCTTTGCCGGAGTTTATGTTCATAATTTGCTTTCTGTTTATTTTTATTTACATTTTTTTTTTTGCAGTAAGTAAACAAACACACGATGTAGTTATAAAATATCTTAGTCACAGTTTCCTTTTAAAAGATCAAAGATAAACACTTAAACACTCATGCATTTGCAATAATATATTTGTGAGAGTTCTCTGCATGGTCAGTGCCATCTACAGAATTTTCCTGAACGGCCTGTGCCATCTGCAGAGTTTCCCAAATGGCCAGTGTTGTCTCCAGAGTACCCCGAATGGCTAGTGCCATCTCTAGAGTAACCCGAACGGCCAGTGCCATCTCTAGAGTTTCCAGAACGGCCAGTGCCATCTCCAGGATTGTTATTAATATTCTCTTTCAGTTTGCGGTGGTGCTCAGTCCTGGCAGATAGTGATGTGCGATACCACTGATTTCCTATCCGATCTGATACCAAGTAAAATGAAGGCAAGTATCGGCGATACCGATCCGATTCCGATACTGCCCAAAAATGACCGTTTGGGTAATTAAATTAACAAGTTGTGTACTTAAAAGTGTCACTTTATACTGAATATGAACCATATTATGGGTTATTCTTGTTTATTGATGAAGAATTATTATACAAAAAAGCGAACTTACATATTTATTGACAGCTTCTGAGCATGTATATCTTAAAACGCCTGCCTGAACATCTTAAAAAAAACATTTACACTTCTACATTTAGTGACATGTTTATCCGGTTCTCATGAAAGTGTTTTGAACCTTTTTTCATTGTTTTATCAGTCACAAAAAAAAACCAAGACACCTAATACAGCCACATCGCCACATTTTCTCCCTCTGTACTTGGCTGGTGCCTGCCTGCTGCAACTAAGGACTCTGAAAGCGATGTCTGTCTCGCCCAAGCAGCACCTGTACCTCTCCTATCCTCCTCATCTGACCGCCTAGTCATGACGTTGTCATAATCTGTCTTGTGATTTCTATGCAGATGTTTGATTAGTTTTGTGGCATTACCACAGTACCTCACTGCTTTTGTTACACGTGTCACAAACTGCAACGTTTGAGTTTATGGGAGTGAAGAAGCTCAACACATAACTTCGCATTTGCCAGCCCAGCGGACTGAGTGGCTAGCAAGCTAGCGTGCTCTGAGTCTGCAGTTGTGCAGTGCCATATTATACACATGACTTTGCAGGCGGAAGAACAAGTAGTCCGACTAAGTTGGCATTATTCAGAGAAACTAGGGTAATTGTGGTTACTTTCCGCTGTTTCTACTTCCAATAAAATACATATTTGCTCCAAATTATGGAAATATCGATATTTCGATAAAATAATCGATTCTAGAACATAAAAAGCTGGTATCGGAGATATCGAAATTTTAGTATCGATCCGCACATCACTACTGGCAGATTTTAGAGCCCTCCTATCGCTGGACATACTGTATGCATTTCTAATGACTTCTAAATTAGTTTTTCATTTACGTTCCAGGGCACGGGTTGCTGTTTTGAGTACGAGAGTATGGCTGTTATATTATGGTGTAGTTTTATTCTCTCTAGCCTTTTTTAATTAGATGGGTGCCACAGTGTTTAGTGTGCTAGTGAAGATGGCATCCAAACTGCTGGTTACTACATTAAGGTTATTTGCGGGTGCATTTCGAAATAGAGAAAGTAGGTAAGTTATTTGTGAATTCATCTTTGGTGGATGGAACGATAGTTCCCCGAACAGCCATAGCCGTCTCCAGAGTTTCCCTAAATGGCAGGAGCCATCTCCAGAGTTTCCCTCACAATCGAAGCCATCGCCAAAGTTTCCCTGAACGGCCAGAACCGTCTACAAAGTTTCAACAGATTTTCCTCGAATGGCCAGAGTGGACTCCAAAGTTACTTCATAGTTTTCTCAAATGGCCAGAGCCATCTCCAGAGTTTCCTCGAACAGCCGGAGCCGTCTCCAGAGTTTTCCCTTAAGGCTGGATCCGTCTCCAGAGTTACCTTGACTGGCAGGAACTGTCTCCAGAGTTTCGCCAACAGCCGGAGCCGTCTTCTGAGTTCTCCTCATGGCCGGAGTTGTCTTCTGAGTTCCCCTCATAGCCGAAGCCGTTTTCAGAGTACTGCCTCTCGCTGAATGGAAGGACACAACCTCTTAGACATGACCAGAATGTGGCTGTCGTTTTTGACATGTTTTGTCCATTTGATGTGTTCACACACAGCATTTTGGTCAACCACAGTTAGGTTTCATTGGTGCTAGTTGTTAAGCATCTGCTTGGTGTGTCCTGGCCCTAATGCACACCCTCACTCAGATGCACTGTGCATGAGGGGGTTTTGCTGGCACAGATATTCATTCAAAGAGGCAAAACCTCTGCTCAGGGGGTGGTGTTCATGCAAATGTAAGCACTCCTGTTGCATCACATGTCTATTGGAAAAGGGAATATTTTTACAGCTTTAAAAATTAAATCATTTGGTTATAATTAGGATGAAATGAGTGAAAGTTGAAGGTCAGGACCATGACAACCTGATCATCAGGCACAGAAACTGGTTCTTGGGACATGAATCTTGGGTCACCTCACTGAAAGGGAATGAGTCTGTGTTTGTGCAGAAAGATGGTACTGATTTTTTTCTTAGTCGGGCTCACCTTCATGCACAGCTTGGGCTCTGGAATTTGTTGAGAAGTGCTGGATGATCTTCTACTCTGGAGTCTAGAGTCGGCAGGCTTGTGTGGGCTTGTTTATAGCTCACCAACTCAGCTGCATTGTGTTGGGAGTTTTCACCTGTGAACGAGAGGGTCACCTCCCTGTACCTTCGGGTAGGGGATAGGTCTTTCATTGTAGTTTGTCCCTAAAGCTCAAACACCATTGCAGAGTACCCGGCCTTCTTGGAGGCTTTGAGAAGGCTGCTAAAAGGTCCTCTGACCGGGGACTTCATTGTTCTTCTGAGCGATTTCAACGCCCACATAGGTAATGACCTTGATACCTGGTGATACGTAGAGAGGCATGTTTGGGAGGAACAGTGTCTTTGATCTAAATCCAACTGGTTGTTCAGTTGTTGGACTTTTTTATAACATTGGCATTAATGTTGATGATTGTTAAGTGAAGGGGGGCAGTGGGGGGTTTGGTGTCACAATATTCAAGTAAAGAGCTGGGGTGGGGACAGTGGTGGTGGATGATTAGTAAATAAAGGATGGGGGCTGTAAGGGGCAGGCCAGTTTTAGCAACAAATGCATTAATATTAACAAAAACATTAACAAGATTTATCATTTATTGCAATGAATGAGCTTGTTCTCACTTGTTTCTGTCTCTTCTCAGATGTACCCACACCTACAGTGACGGTGACACCAGACAATGCTGTATTTACAGGAGAGACAGTCCATCTGAAGTGTGAGATTGAGTCTGATCACAGAGACTGGACATATGAGTGGTATACAAACAGCAGAAACAGTGTGTTACAGTCGTCTGATGGTCGGACTGTAAACACAGGCACTATCACTATGAATGAAGCTGATTGGTCTGATGAGGGTCAGTACTGGTGTAGAGGACTCATAGCTGGAAGATCAGTCTCAACACCATCAAGCTCTGCTGCTTTTCTCTCAGTAAAAGGTGAGCTAAATATCATTTTCCTTCAAAGCATTAACAATGAGAGACTAGTTTTGTTCAAAAATAAAAAGCATCTAGTTTACAAACAATGATGCTGATGAGAGCGATCACGGGGTGAATGTTGATCCACCAGCCGAGATCAATCGAGTGGTTTTGGAGAGAGTGCTGAAAGACTCAGTGGATCTGCTGTTTTTAATGGCCAGAATCTCGATACGTTGCATTCACTGCATGATTAGCGTAAATGACAGCTAAATGTAAAATCTTTGTTGCTCATTCGCAGGAAGACGATAAACGCTCTTGTGTTGAGCCCAATGAGCCTTACATCTAAAAATAGAGCAAGGGTGTTCCTTTGGTGACACCGCTTTGACTTACATGCTGAAAATGGCGGATGTGAAAGAACAAACTGAGGGTATGGTAATGCATGCCTGTCGATCAATATTGGGGGAGGGTGGGGACTACACTCCTACGCCAAGTTGTGGTCGGTCTTTAAACCGCTCCATTTTGTCCACCTTTTGCATGCTATTAAATTGAAAAAAAAAAGGACTGGGTGTGTTTATATCACCCCAACCTGACGGTCTATACCAGGGGTGTCCAAACTCAGTCCTGGAGGGCCGGTGTTCTGCATAGTTTAGCTCCAACTTCCTTCAACACACTTCCCTGGAAGCTTCTAGTACACCTAGATAGAGCTTGATTAGCTGGTTAAGGTGTGTTTAATTGGAGTTGGAACTAAAATATGCAGGACACCGGCTCTCCAGGATCGAGTTTGGACACCCCTGGTCTATACACTATACCTACACATTTGTCTGTCCAAACAACTTGAAAAGTAGATTTTTTACCATAGGTGCCCTTTAATTATTACCTTACTTAGCAAACTGAACACCAAAAAGCAGATTGTTTTTGTTTTATTTTATTTTATTATTTTTACTATTCCCTTTTAGACATTTAGTTTAGACTGATGTAGTACTTCACATATACAAAAACTGACGCATACAGTACAATTCCAATTTTGAAACATTAGAATGATTTAGATTTTTTTTAGAATTTGATTTTTTATGATGCAATAAAATCAAAAATATTCGTCGCAGTCACTACCCTTTGGCTTAGTTCCTGATTTACCATGGGTCGCCAAAGTAGAATGAATCACCAATTTTATTTTTTATCAATCACTAATATGTTTTATGCATCCGATGCCGTTACAGCTGCAATCCAACACTGGGAAACACACACACAGTCTCTCATTCATACACTCATTCACTATGGCCAATTTAGTTTATTCAATTAACATGGACCACAAGTCATTGGAAATGTGGAGAAAACTGGAGCACCGGAGGAAACCCACACAAACATGGGGAGAACATGCAAACTCCACACAGATGTTATTAATGATAAGCCTCACATTTTGACGACTGAACATGTGAAGAGCCAAAATTCTTATTAAAATGTTGGAACTCCTCTTTTACCTCATTTACAAACTGATGTTGCATAATTTACATGATTAAATGCTATTAAAGCATCAGTAAAACACATAGTAGAATGTCTGTTATACTGTTATATACAATCTAAAATCTCTTTTAAAGCAAAAATACACAAATCTGTACCATATTTTCATTTTAAAATCAAAAAGATTGTCAAAAGACAAATCCAGCGGATTTGGAACAACACTCACAGCACTGTAAAAACTTGATTAACAAATACAATTAGCATATTTCATAATACAAGCATGGAGTCATAATCATAATAAAATTGCATATAATAGCATCACAGTCAATTATATCGCACTACAAGCATTTATTATCTTTACGTATCATCAACATACCTCAAAACTCTAAGGAAGATCAGAGTCTCTTATTATTGTTCAACGGCTCTCTTATTAGCTTACTAGCAAACCAGCTATTAGTGGTGTCAAAACAGGACAATTATAGGACAAATACTAGTGATTTTTGAACACAGTATATGCTGTGATGGTGCTGAGTTGTGGCAATAAATCATTTTAATTTTAATTAAAAAGATGACCTCTGCATTTTATAACTGAATGTCTAAACATTAATATGAAATGATGAGCAGTGTAATAATATACACAGAGAAGCCTAAAAGGTGCCGTTATCAGTACAAAACATTACTGGATAAACTGAATTTAACTGGTGTTTGTCTGTGAACTTGACTGAGTCAGATCCTCTTCAAAAACAACAGATCAGTAAACTTTTGACAACACACAAGACAAATAGACGAAAAACTTTATGACATATGAAATATCAGTATTTTTGTTCATTTAAAGCTTTTGTCTTCTCAGCTTTACCCACACCAACAGTGACTGTGACACCAGACAGTGCTGTATTCACTGGAGAGACAGTCAATCTGAAGTGTGAGATTGAGTCTAATCACAGTGACTGGACCTATGAGTGGTATCAATGGAACCAGATGAACTATTACAGTGTGTTACAGTTGTCTGACCATCACACAGTAAACAGAGACACTCTCACTATCACTGGAACTACATGGTCTGATGGTGGTTGGTACACATGTAAAGGACACATAAGATCAGTCTCAACACAATTAGGCTCTGAATTTTCTCTCTCAGTGAATGGTGAGTACATCTGCAAATACTGTGATATAATGCGCTCAACATTATTGAAATATACAAATCTGCTTTACATTAAACGTTACATTGTATTTTGGATATTTGCAACTCTACCATAAACATATTTAAATAATCATATTTCATGTTTATATTGCTCTTGATGTTAATATTTTAAATGTTGTCTATAATGAAACTGAGTGCAAAGACATAAAAATGCATTTGATCACTTTTTTGGCTTTAACATTGAGCGTGAATGAATTTAATAAATGTTTATGGTGTTTTACATTTAAAGACGAGTTTAATCCGTAATGATAATAGAATTACAACAACGAAATACAAACAGTATAACCAGCCTGATCTCACGAGAAAACGTAAGTATTTTACGTTTTGCCAGTTTAGTGGTAGAGTTCAATCGTACGAAATGGTACGATTTTAAAAAGGAGGCATGGCACCTAACCCCACCCCTGACCACAACCGTCATTGGGGGATGAGCAAATCGTACTAAATTGTACGAATTAGATTGTACGAATTCATACGAATTAGCCACTAAATGAAAAAGTTACGAATTGCCGTGAGATTGTGTTGGTATAACCAGTTTTATATGGTAAAGTGTAACAGGAAATGCATGAAACAGAAATGAGAGTGTCAGTGTTAAAGGTCAAGTGTTGAGAAAAATGGCCTAATATTCAGCTGCTACTTATTTCTGTCAGAGAGATGAATCCCCTTCTGGAAACTGATGGTGAAGTGCTTTGTTTAAGAACAATAATGATGGTCAACAATTTACACAATACATGATTTAAACCAACACCATCACATTAACAACCTCTGTTGTTACCAGATGATATTATGAACAGTCTGTTGGTTAGTTTTACAGATGATTGATAAGTCAAAAAATGATTGGTTGTATAAACAAATTTCAGGAGGAGCACGCACAGATGTTTTAGCAATTCAAATGCATCATTGACAATAATTCTATTATCCAATCAGCTTTAGACCAAACCCCTATAAATACCAAAAGTTGTCCTACCTGAATTATCTCATGACTTCATCCTACCACCCCGACACCTCACATCTTAAACATTACCTACCTGGGGGGAGTGTTCTGGGGCCGAGCTAAACACTTCGCTTGAACCCCAACTTCTCTTTCTTTCTCAATTAGGGGAATAACAGGAGTTGGGGTGTCTTCCCTGAGTTTAGAGCCCTCTCCCTGGACAAAACAACAAATAAGCTTTATTCTTAAAACATCTGTAAGTGTGAACTTATGAATAGTATAGTGAAGTGAGAGAGAATGGTGTGACTTACAGATGCTGCTGTTAAATGAGTTGCTGAAGTCTTCAGTCTGTTGAAGCTCATTCAGATTCAGCTGCTCCTCATATCTTCAGCTCTCCTTCATTTTGCTTCTGTGGAGATTCAGAGGTGTTTGAAGACCAGAAAACACTTATATATATATATTGCACAAATTGCACACTGTTGTGAAAAATGTATAATATTTATCTTCACTGAAACAGCTATTGGAGTCACTTTGTGTGTTTGTCATTCTTCTTAGATGTTCCCACACCTACAGTTACTGTGACACCAGACAGTCCTGTATTCACTGGGGAGACAGTCAATCTGAAGTGTGTAATAACACCTAAAAATTTTAACTGGAGGTACGTGTGGTATAAGGGCAGCATAAAAAATGTGTTACGGCTGTCTCATCTCCACACTGTGGACAGAGACACTCTTACTATTAGTGAAGCTGCTGGGTCTGATCAGGGTCATTACTTGTGCAAAGGACTCATAGATGGAAGATCAGTCTCAACACAATTAAGCTCTGCAGTTTCTCTCTCATTGAAGGGTGAGTTAAATATCATCGTCCTCCTAAACTCTTGTACACACTTAAGACTGGTTTGTACAGTGCTTGAGGAAAGTATTCATAGTGCTTTTTATGCATTCATTTAACATTTTTTATGTTACAGCCTTATTCCAAAATGGATTAAGCTAACTTATTTTCTCAACATTCTACACACAATCCCCCATAATGACAGTTTTTGAAATTGTTGTAAATTTAATAAAAATAAAAAAGCTGAAAAATCACATGTACATCAGTATTCACAGCCTTTGCTCAATACTTTGTTGATGCACCTCTGGCAACAATTTCAGCCGCATGTCTTTTTGAATATGATGCCACAAGCCTGGCACACCTGTCTTTGGGAATGTTTGCCCATTCCTCTTTGCAGGACCTCTCAAGCTCTATCAGGTTGAATGAGAAGCGACGGTGTACATCCATTTTCAGATCTCTGCAGAGATGTTCAATAGGATTTAGGTCTGGGCTCTGGCTGGGCCACTCCAATGATATTTTGGCGATGTGCTTTGGGTGATTGTCCTGCTGGAAGGCGAACCGTCGCCCCAGTCTGTGGTCAAGAACACTCTTGAGCCTATCTCACTGGATATGGAGCCTATCTCACTGGCTTATGAGTTTGAATCACTTTGTTTTTGTTGTTTTCCTCAGCTTTACCCAAATCTACAGTGACTGTGACACCCGACAATGATGTGTTCACTGGAGAGACAGTCAATCTGAAGTGTGAGATAACACCTTATTACAGTAGCTGGAGATATGAGTGGTATAAGGACAGCACAGACAGTGTGGTACAGTTGACTCATAATCACAATGTATACAGGGACACTCTCACTATCAGTAGAGCTGCTGAGTCTGATCAGGGTCAGTACTGGTGTAAAGGACTCATCAGATCAGTCTCAACACAATCAAACTCTGCTGTTTCTCTCTCAGTAAAGGGTAAGTACCTCATCAAGTATCTTGCTATTGTCTGCTCAAAATAACAACTACTATTTTATAACTTCGCCACATGGGTTCTTTTAGGAAAACTGAAGCATCATGGGCTCTATTTTGACGGTCCATGCGCAGAGCGCACAACGCAGAGCGCAAAACGCTTTCAGGGCGTGTCAGGACGCGTTTTTGCTAATTTATGGACGGGAAAATCCACTTTGCGCCATGGTGCATGGTCTAAAAGGGTTAAAGTTATTTTCCTAATGAGTTATAGGTGTGTTTTGAGAATAAACCAATTAGAGTCTCCTCTCCCATTCCCTTTAAGAGCCAGCTGCGTCGCGCCAAGAGCACATTTGCCATTTACAGGACGTAAAGTAAGTCTAAGTGGAAAAAATGAGCATTTCACAAGCAAACAGTTAAAAGTTTTTTAACAGAAAACTTTTAAACAGAGCATCTACTGCCTGAGAATGAGAGATAATGGATCTACTTTTACTTTCGCCTTTGGATAGAGAAACCTTTACGCACAGACATCAATTAGTCTATAAATAAATACTTTTGTTTGTTAAGCGCAAATATTCGTTTCAAAACTATTTCTAAATCCAGTTCTAATTTCCAGCAAATAATAACGAAGTGTGCTCAAAAACCTGATAACAGATATAAATAATAAACAATAATAAACATATAAATATGGATATAATAAATAATACTGCTAATAATAATAACATTATATAAAAGCAAATTGTTATGAATGAACTGAAAATGCCTCCCGAGATGAAGAAGACATTAAAGCAGTGGTTTTTCATATTTATGTAGGCTAGAAAATAATATGTTTTGTAATATTTTAATCCTTTATATTTATATCCTATATCTATTCTTATTATATCCTATATATATCCTTAGTATTTAAATTTTTTCATATGTAAAGATATTTGCCTATTGCTCTCTTGTGCGTATTAAGCAGTGCGTAAGCGAGGCGCAACTCTGCACCGGAGTTTAGACCGGGTTAGTTTTGGTCTAATGAAGAATCTATTATAGTTTCTCAAAATAGCAACGCGCCAGCGGTCCGCCTCAGTACGCCTTTCTTTTTAGAGCAGAACGCCTATGGGCGTGCATATGAGCGCTAATTCATTTGCTATTTTAACAGCGTAGCGCAACGCCTCAAAACGACTCTTGCGCCAAGCTGAAACTAGCAAAAGACTATTGCACTGCGTCTTGCGCCACACTGTGCCTGTTGTATGATAGGGCCCAATGAGTTTCTGGGCTCTGTCTTTAGTGTTCTTCAAGGCCAAGGCCTCTCACCTTATATTATCTGATCTTCTTGCCACATGTGGCAACATTCAATATCAATAAGCATTATAATTATGTAGTAAGACAGATAACATTTTACAAGACAGTATAAAGAAGTGAATCTGAACAGTTTATTAAATAGCTGAAAATATGTATCTGTAGCCTAACAGTACAAGCAGCTTAATGTAGTGGCAAATTTTGAAAGGACATTGGAGAAATGTTGTAAAACTACCCCATACTACACCATACGATTGATGCATGTCCTCAAAGTGTATCGGTGGGTGTAGTTTAAAATCTCACTGGCATTTGTTTTGAAAATGATAGAATTCTGATGTAGTTCTAGTTAATTTACAACTTATTGTGTTCAGCTTAGCATCAATGTCACTGTTAAAGTTTAGTTTAGTTCAGATTGGTGTAATGCAAATGTCACTGCTGAAGTCCGATCCAATGAAGAGCCACTCACCCAGACAAAAGAGTTTAACCAGCTTTGATCCAGTGAGCAGAGCTATACATCTGAACATCAGTATTGTTATCTGCTATTACACTGTTTATATATATATATATATATATATATATATATATATATATATATATATATATATATATATATATCTTTGTGTGTATATATTCTTTACTGCAGGTTTAGAATTAGATTGTGCTGGTAAAAAAAAAATGGCTTAAGGGGCTTGTCAAAATTAGGGTGGGTTTGGGATCATTGTGGATGTTTTTGCAATTTATGGTAAATAATTAACAAAAAAAACAAGTGTGTACCAACTCGATTTATGTTTTTAGGCATTTATTTGTGCATTTAGGAGGGTTTTGGACAGTTTAAGCTGGAAACCTCAAAGTGCATCTGGCAAGATTGACTGCCATTTTCTCATTGTAACGTTACGGTGTGTGATTTTTTGATTAAATGAACCATAGTCCATTAGTAGAACCATTAGTCTTCCTGATTAATTTAAGGTAAGTAACTGCTCAGTGGTTACTGTTGCCCCAGGCAGGTCCAGGAGGCGATTCTGTGTGGAGTTTGCTTGTTTACGTAGTTTCCTCCAAATGTATTTGTGTCTTGAATAAACAAAATTGGCCATAGTGTTTGTCATTGAAAGAAAACTTCAATATTTAAGTTCATTAAACTTAAACCATGTCCATTACACTTGAATTATAAAATCATATCAACATCATTTTTAACTACAACAACTTGTCTATTTAAGTTAACTAAACTTAGAATATGTCCATTACACATGTACTGTCAAGTCAACTTTAACCTGAGTTGAGAAAACTTCACTATTTAAGTGAAGTTAACATAATATTTTAAGTTGAAATGTAAAAATGTTAGTGTAAGGTGTGACCTATGGTGTGACCTATGTGACCTGGTGCACACCTCTACTCATTTGAATTGCGGAAAAAAAAAATTTAAAGTAAAAAAAAAAAAAAAAACATACCTGGGAACATGCGAGATGCCAGGCTTAAAGTTTTAGTTCACCCCAAAATGAACATTATGTGTGGTTTATTTATAAACTAATTTCGAGAGGATCACGTGCTTATAATCAACACGGCTGGCTCCTTGTTAGCTCTCAATCAGCCCTATTAGATGATTACGGAAGCATTATAAATAACCTGAGTTTTTCACTCCAGTTATCTTCATCTTGAAGCTCCCCCCCTTTCCACCCCTACATCCTCCCACTTTTTCTGATCGGGCGACACGGTGGCCCAGTGGCTGGCACTGTTGCCTCACAGCAACAGCAACCCATCGGGCCGGTTAGTGTTTCTGTGTGGAGTTTACATGTTCTCCCCGAGTTCGCGTGGGTTTTCCTCGGGTTCCCCGGTTTCCCCCCACCGTCCAAAAACATAAACCATAGCCAATCGACTAAAACAAATTATCACCCAATAAAACCTGAGTGTACACTTCTCACGGTGAAAAGCAGGGGAATTCTCGAGACCTACCAGACCTCGAATTCCCCTCTCGCCCTTCTAACGGGAGGGAGCCCCGGGCTCGAGGATATTACGAGCTCAGGGCTCTCTCCCGGGACAGCATGCCAAATACGCTTTATTGATTATCAGCTGAGTGTGAGATCTTGAAGTAATTAAATACTCATCCACATGTCATTAGGGATGTTTGTATAACATGAACATTCATTCATCTTCATAAAAAAAAAGTTAATTTAGATGAAAGATCTGAGAGCACCTCATCCTCTTTAGACAGCAAGATTCCAGAAAAAGACAAAAAATATCCTCAAAGTCTGTAAAGTTAACTTCTCAGTAAGCATGCTTAACTCAGTCTATACATAAACCTGTATAAAATAATCATTCACTGATACTCATCTTCACCTTAAATATCAAATGCTATTCACAACGCCTCAGGTTTAGGGTGATGTTACATCTGGATGAACATTTATATAGTTTTGTGAAACATTAAGAAATTTTTTTTTCTCTAAAAGAGCTGTTTGAGTCACTTGTGTTTTGTCTTCTCAGCTTTACCCAGATCTACACTGACTGTAACACCAGCCAATCCTGTATTCACGGGAGAGACAGTCAATCTGACCTGTGTGATAACAACTTATTACAGTATCTGGAGATATTTCTGGGATAAAGACGACGGTGTGTTGCATTTGTCTCATCGTCACAGTGTAAACAGAGACATTCTCACTATTAGAGCTGCTGAGTCTGATCAGGGTCAGTACTGGTGTTGGGGAGAGATATATGGAAGATCAGTCTCCACACAATCAAGCACTGCTGTTTATCTCATTGTAAAAGGTGAGTACTTCAGCAAGTACTGTGTTATAATTCATGCCTGAATACAATTTAAAGAACATTGCAGATTTTATGAAATGCTAATGGTCAAACATGATTCAGTTCATTATGCTATGTTAAATTAGAAGTGAAGCTTAAAAGTGAGTAAAAAATCAGTGTGGATTTAAAAAAATGTTCAACTTTTATAAATTTATGAAATATAAATTTATACAATCTAGTTCCAAATACATACATATATATATATATATGCATGTTATACATGTTAGGACCGTGAGGGAGAGGGTGGGTGTAGTGGATGAATGTGAGGACTGCTGCCCAAGGTGGCAGTCCTCACGTTCATCCACTACACTCACCCTATTTTTAATCCAAACTCGGTCCTGGAGGGCCAGTGTCCTGCAAAGTTTAGTTCCAACCCCAATCAGACACACCTGGGCTAGCTAGTCAAGCTCTTAGGCTTTCTAGAAATATTCTTGCAGGTGTGTTGAGGCAAGTTGGAGCTAAAATCTGCAGGACACCGACCCCTCAGGACTGAGTTTGGACACCCCTGCACCAGAGTTTGAAATTGCGAAATTCTGTCGTACGACTCTGTGAAAAGGGGCGGGATTAAACAAAATGATTAGAGATCAAAAAGGCGAGTGATTGCTCCATGTTTTTAAATTCCTGTCCAGAGATGTCATGTTTTGATCTTCGATCAGTCTCACGCAATCACATAATGCATATATATATATATATATATATATATATATATATATATATATATATATATATATATATATATATATATATATATATATATATATATATATATATATATATATTAGGACCGTGAGGGAGATCAAATCAACTATAGTGGATCAAATCAACTCCAGGTCACAGGTCAGAGTTCACTAAGCTTGAACTTTCCAACGCAGAGAACTGCGAAAAGTGTCGCATGAACTTGCGTTTCCGGGCTGTAGCATTCGCATGTGTATGAATGGAAGTCTATAGGGAGAATAGTGCAGTGTGACCGCAGCTTAACACTCCGGAATGATTGATCATCTGGCAATAACTTATAATGTTGTTTTAACATAATGTCTCCATTCCCTCATTCAGGGGACAAGGGTTATGACAGTAAACCAAACCATATTGTGTAGTTATTAGTATTTTCTTAATTGTTTAAGAGAGCTGAATAAAGTTACATTCACTTGCAGTAAAATAAGAGCAACAGCTGCATGTTACACGGTGAAATACGTGTACGGTTTAGTACGGTGATGATATACTCACATAAAAGTCTGCATGATTAAAATCAACTCCACAATGTAGAAATAAAGCAGTAGCGTCCTCAAAAAACATGCAGATGAGAACAAATGACCACATAAAACTTATATATATGTCACTGTATGCTTTTCTATTCTTCTCAGCTTCACCCAGATCTACCGTGACTGTGACACCAGACAGTGCTGTATTCACTGGAGAAACATTCAATCTGAAGTGTGTGATTGAGTCTGATCACAGTGACTGGACATATGAGTGGTATGCAGACAGAAACCGTGTAAAGTTACAGTCTGATGGTCATTACACTGTAAACAGAGACACTCTCACTATCAGAGGAGCTGCTGAGTCTGATCAGGGTCAGTACTGGTGTAAAGGATTCATAGATGGAAGATCAGTCTCAACACAACCAACATCTGTTTATCTCACTGTTAAGGGTGAGTTGATTTATTATTTTCTTTCTGATTGTTTAATTTGTTACTGGTGCAGTGGTTTGCGCTGTCAGCCTGGGTCAGTTGGTATTTCTTTGTGGAGTTTGCATGTTCTCCATTTGTTTAATAACACAAGCAATGAACCGCCACAATAATCCCGTAAGTCCTCACATCTCCGTAATTGTTGAAACATATTTAAAACATCAAATGAACACTTATATTAATTATAACTAACAATATTATCATCTAAATAAATCAGTCCTACATCAGGCAGAACAATTTGCATATATAATGCCTTAGGTATTTCTCAGATGTATTCTGCTTTTTGAGGATCTGAATCTGTTCTTGGTCTCCTGCAGATTTAAAGCCAAAGCCTGAACTCAGATCAGATCCTGCAGGACCTGCACTGACTGGAAACACAGTGACTTTGACCTGTAACACTGATCTGTCCACCGGATGGGACTTTTACTGGTACAAAAACACACAAGAGTCTGAGATAAAGACGACAAGAACAAACTCCTACAGCATGAAGATTGATTCATTGTCTGATGGAGGCCAGTACTGGTGTAGAGCTGGAAGAGGAGAACCAGTCTATTACACACAATACAGTGATGAACTGACACTCAGTGTTACAGGTGAGAGAAAACACAGTGTTAACACAACCCTTTAAAACTCTAAATGAAAACCAAATTCAATAACTTTGTTTGTACAGAGAGTCCTAAAGCTGTGGCGATAATCCAGCCTGATGAACGTGTGTTCAGAGGAGAAACAGTCACTCTCAGATGTGATATAAAGTGGGGAGGAAACACTGAGTGGACATACAGATGGGAAATAGAGCAAACAGACCACTATAACAAATATTATAACCAGTATAATCAACATAAAAACAATGTGAGCCGGTGCTCAGCACAAGAGTTGAAGATCAGCCTTGTTGAGGTCTTTCACCGTGGTAATTACAGCTGTACAGGACAGATGAACACTCAGATCTCTCAGCGCAGTGATCCTGTTGCTCTGACTGTGTATTCAGGTGAGTGTGTGTGTGTGTGTGTGTTCAGTATTATCAGAGTCTGTATCTGGTCCTCTATGGCTCTTTAACTCCTCCTGTTTGGTTCAGATGAAGCTCAGGCAGCAGTGCAAGTGTCTCCACAGCCGTGGCTCACTGAAGGACACTCGGTGACTCTGATCTGTGAGGTTCCAGGCTCCTCTACAGGCTGGACGTTCAGCTGGTTCAGAGATGCTGATCATCTGTCAGACAGCAGCAGAGGAGCTGGAGGCTCTTACACTCTCAGTCCTGCTGCTCTACAGCACACAGGATTTTATACGTGCAGAGCAGAGAGAGGAGAACCAGCCTATTCCTCACAGAACAGCAGCGCACAGCCACTGTGGGTCACTGGTGAGGGAAATCAGCTTTCAGCAGCTGTAAGAGCTGTTGTTGATCTCGAATGTGCCAGTAGGTTTATGTCAGTGACAGCAGCAGTATATTTGTCTGCGTTTGCTCTCTGTCTCAGGTGTTTCTGCTTCAGTGCGTCTGGTGCTCAGGCCCAGCAGAAGTCAACACTTCTCCTCTGACTCTCTCTCTCTGAGCTGTGACTCTGCTGGATGGACAGTGAGAAGATACACACACACAAACACACAAGATTGTTCAGCACAAACAGGATCTACATGTGGGATCCAGTCTCTCAGCACATCTGACACTGGAGTTTACTGGTGTGAGTCTGACTCTGGAGAGAAACGCCATCCTCTGAACATCACTGTACATGGTGAGTCCTGTTACTGAGATCACAGCATCTACACACATTCACATCTCAATTACATACACAATTTCATGATACATTTTTTCAATTGTTAAATGACTCAAAACCCTACCAGTTAAAATAACTAATGCCTTTTGAGTCATTTAACCACTAATTCAGATAGTCTGTCCACATCTAAACTAACAGATTAAGATGCAAAGTGGACCTGATTTTATGCCAGAGATTAAAAGCCTGAAGACCAACACACTCAAGTCAACATTTAACTGTGTCTAATGCAGTTTTCTTATCTACACCTGACATTGCCTTGTCTTTTTGGACAACTGGACTACATGGGACTGTTGTTATGAATAGTTTAGCCATATAGTGAGACTAAACAGATGTGTGTTGTATTGTGTAGATGGTGCTGTGATTCTGGAGAGTTCTGCTGATCCTGTGATTGAGGGAGAAACTCTGACTCTACACTGTTTACATCGATCTACAAACTCCTCCATCCTCACAGCTGATTTATATAAAGACGGATCACTGATCCCGAATCAGACGACAGGAGAGATGAACATCCCTAGCTTCTCAAAGTCTGATGAGGGTTTTTACTACTGTAAAACAGAGAGAGGAGAGTCGCCGCACAGCTGGATCTCAGTCAGAGGTCTGGGAATAATTATTTATTATTATTTACCTCTAATATTATCATCCAGCATATACTTAATGTACACGTCTGGCATCTTCTCTCTTCAGCTTCAACTTCACTTTCTCTTCTGGTCATCTGTGTTTCTGTGGCATTGAGTGTTTTTTTGCTGCTCCTCATCTTACTGGTTCTGTTGCTGAGACACAAGGAGGAAAAAGGTGTGAAGGAATTCAGAACATGTTCGAAATGACTAATAAAACAAGCATGTAATGCATACAATTACCGTCAGATTATGTGCAAGAGTAATTGCTCTGAATACCTTAAAAATTTCATTTGTTTCTACTGTAGATCCACACTGTGGAGTTCAACAAACTTTGGAATCAAACCGATCTGGAGAATTTCAGACGCAAAACTCAACTCTACAGTCTTGTCTGCTCCATTATCACATTTAACACAACCTATTTAAAACATTTGAGTGTTGTCTGTTTTTTATTCAAGATAAACAGATGATCATCTTTTACCATCCAAATGTTTATTTGCTGTCTTGCAGGTTCTTACCACATTTATGATGATGTTAGCGCATTCAATAATGTAGAAGAAGGTTGAGTCTGAAACTTTTATAAATGTTCAATCTTTTATTTAGAAATAATAGATCATAATTGATTTACCTTGCCTTGACTTGTAGAGCCAGTGGAAGATGTGACACATTCAAAGAAAAAGATGCCCATATATGAAGGTAAAGAAAAAACCCCACCTGGAATCACCAGTCAGTCATGAACTAGTAACAATCTACATTTCTGTTTCATAAAAGAGCAAGTTATGATTTAGGATTCATGAGTAGTTATGATTATTTTTGCAGATGAAACCATGCCAGAGCAAAGTAACATTTTGTACTCAGAAGTTAGAACTAAAGTAAAGAAACTCAAAAGAAAAGGTGAATTTTATATTTTTTCCTATAAGTGAAGTTTATTTATAAACTAATTTTGAAAGGATCGCATGATTATAATTTGCCACAGCTGGTCAGGAATTAGCTAATCATGATCCTCCAATCATATAATTCCTAAGTTACTATAAATAACAACAGTTCATTCTACATCTATCTTCTTGAGGAAACCCCCCTTCTCCTCCATTTTCCTCAAAATTGGGAGGCACGATGGCCCAGTGGTAAGCACTGTTGCCACTCACACTTTATCTCAACCCGGGCTCATTGTGGAAGCGTAGCCCCGCGGACGTTTCTGCGGACCGTGATTTACGTCCTGGGAGGTACGTATTCGAGCGGTTTTTGTTTTCGCGGATCCGCGAGAGGCCGCTGTGCGAGCTTTTTCGCGTCTCGGGCGCCTCTCGGGAGCGTGCGCCATTCGCGCCCGCGCCGTTCTCGCACGAAAAGCCGCCGGATCGGCCGCCTTTCTCTTCCTCCTTCCCTAAACCCGAGCGACGGTTTGCAAAAGCCGTCCAGACAAAAAAAAAAAAAAAAAGCAAAAGCCCTTGTCTTTGATTTCGACCGCGTTTTCGGATACCGCCACGTTCTCGTCCTTATTTTTCGGATTTCGTTTTTCGTCTTACCTGATTTCCGGAATCTGCTGTTCCCCAGACTCGATCCTGGTCGTCGTCCACCGCGGCCGGCTCCTCCTCCTTCGCCGGGGCCTCCGCTCCGCCGACGCAACGCTGTGAGCTAAGCGGACAAACTGATTGCATCGGGAAAGCCCTCCACTCGGAGGCGAGCCGTCGAGCGCGAAGAGGAGGGGCGGAGCGACGCCACACCGCCCCGCAGCGTTCGCTCGAAAAAAACTAAACGCGCCCTTTATGTACCTCCGGCCACGTAAATCGCGGTCTCCAGAAACGTCCGCGGGGCTACGTTTCCAGAATGAGCTTGGGTTGCTTTATTTTGATGGTCTGTTGGATTAAGTTACATTTCATCTACATGCCAACTAATTCTTATTTTAAGTAGACTGTTAGGTTGGGGTTAGGGTTGGGGTTAGTGTATAAGTTGACTTGTACTTGCAGAGTTTCTTATAGTCAGTTAATATCTGCTGATACTGCTCCTTCAACAGACATTTAAGCAGACAATAAAGTGTTACCCTGTTGCCCCACAGCAAGAACACCTCCGGCTCTGGTGCTCGCCAGGCCTGTTAGTGTTTCTGTGCGGAGTTTGTATGTACTCCCCGTGTCTGCATGCGTGTTCCCCGGTTTCCTCCCACCGTGCAAAGATATGCATCATACATAACAGACAAAACCAAACAGACCCTTTGTCTAGCTCCCAGTATCAGTATCTATACTTCTTAAATCAGTTTACCATAGCCACTTCAGCCGGGGAGTTTTTGAGATCTTACTGAGCTCAATCTCCCTTCTTGCTCTGCGAACAAGGGTGGGGGTCCTGGGCTCGAGGATCCCTAGAGCTCAGGGCTCTCTCCTGGGACAGCATGCCAAACAAACTTAGGAGAAATCATCAGCCATGTGTGAACTCTTGAAAGTATATTCATTTCAGCACATTATGATCTGTCTGCATGCTTTTCTGTTCAGATTTTAATACTGCAGTGACCTACACAGAAATCAATGTAAAGGGCAAAAAGAAAACCACAGGCAAAGGTAAACCCTTAAGCTGTATCTAAACAATAGACTGTAAAAGATGTGGATGTAGTATCCTTGATGTTAAACATAGGTTTCTGAAGGGCGCAAATGAAACTACAAGTAGACGTGGCCAACCGTCGCCATTTTTTTTTTGGCGCCTCATCACATCGACTGGTGGTGACCAAAAAAAGGCAAAGAGATCGAGCTACAGACGCCTGCTAGCTTTTTGCTTGGATGTGCTTTTCTTTGGTAGAGACGCTTAATACTTTATTACTTCATAAAATTTTATAAGCAATTATTTATGAAGATTTATTAAAACAGCATTTTTTATTTTATTTTTTTTACAAATGCACTCACAACTGCTTTTGCCTAAAATAACAAGCCTGATGCTGCATTCACACTACGAGTAACTCACAGTGGCAAAGTAAAAAGTGACCGTTCATTTCAAAAGAGAGCGAATGACTTCCGGCGACCTGTATCTATGTAAGCTTTCTTAAGAGCAACTTATTTGAGCGACAGCCAGATGGGGGTGGGGGGGGCACTAACAGTTTCACCACCCATAGCGACAGTCAGCTACAAAGTGACTAGTGCGAATGACGAATGAGGCATGATCGTTTGTAATTGTACTTCAGAGATAATAAAACAAGCATGTACACATCAGAGTCAGATAAACAAGCTGGTGTTTTTTTTCCATTTCAGGTGCTGAATTTGCTGATGTTCTGATTGAAATGAAGTCTAAGGAAATACATGGTAAATAAAGAGATGTTCTGGAATGTTGTTACAGAACACGTGAAAATGAAGTATAGAAACTAATAGCACATATCATTATAAAGCCTCATGCACACTGGGATGTTTATCGCTTATGCCTCTATCGGCAGCATTTTCAAGACTTTTTTTTAACATTCATATCCAAGCAATTTTTTTTTCTGGTGATGAGCCGAGTGAATGTGCAAAATCATTCCCTGACATCATTTTTCCGAATGATGTGGCTGGAATGACGCGATTGTGTTTTGCATGATTGACGTGCTTAATGCGCATATCGCATGTTTCGTGTGAACCGCTCAAGTGTAAAACTCTGAACTTCAGCGGACATTCGCGCACCGTTAACCAATCAGGAGCTTGCTTTTGTGGAGGCGTGATTATGACGTAGCACCTTTTGTTGGTGTCCGGGGTAAATCCCCCTGCTGACACCGTCAGCAGTTCATCAAACTGGGCTCAGTCTGAAGCACCACGGAAAGCTTCCATTATCTCATATGAATAGAGCTCATATGAATCAACGCTGTTTTTCAGCCTTCATAAGGCACATAAACACAGTTATTCTCACAATAAAATCCATGTTTGCCATTTAGAAACGAAGCTACAGTCACCGGGCAGACAGAAGCCACGCCCATCAGGCGAAGCTGCATCTGTTGTGAAGTCAATTTGACGCATGAATGAAGCGAGTAAACTCAATGTTCACGCATCTATTTATGCAAGAATAGCGCGATGTATTCGCACGTACTGCATCTGATATGAAGACAGCAGTCGTTTTTAGCATATCTTTAAGCTAGTGCACGCCAAAACAGTGACAAATTTCACAGTTAGAAGATATAAAACTGATATAAACATGTAAATGCTTTAATTTTTACTTTCAAACAGGAGCTATTTCACAGCACAGAATATGCTGTTTTGAAAGTTTGTGGTCTGTCTCTGCCATGATCAATGGTTTTATTCAAGACACCTTATATTTCAGGTTCTCATCAAATCTTGACCAATCAAATGCTTTGTAGTCTCTGACATGCCCCGCCCCCTTTATAACGCTTCTTATTTGATGCACTTGAGCTCAACCACTTTCACTGGCAGAGTGGTGATAAAACAAAAAGCTATTGGCTGTTTTTTAAGGGGAGGAGCTACTATATGTCCAGCCCACTTTTCATGTTTCAGTTAAGATTACATGAAACATCGGATACAAAATGCATATTTCAAAGCACTTCACAGGACTTTTAAACGCAAGTGAAACTCAAGCCAAACCATTCTGGTGTACGTGGCTCCTAATATAACTTAATTAAAATAAAATTACTTAGAAATCAACCCATATTATGACTGAAACCATGATTTCCTGAGGACAACTTAGAGGCTGTGTGGACCAGGGGAGGCCAAGCTGGAGCACTTACTCTGGTCTCCCAGGGCTTTGCGAAGGTTGGGGAAATTTGAAATAGAACCAAAACAAACTACTACAATTGACTTACAATTGGCAATGAAAAAATAAATTACAACCAGCAAAGCCTGGGAAGTTTTAAATAAATAAAAAAACTTTTACAATCAAACTATCTGTCTTGAAGCACGATTGAAATCACTCCAAAGTAATTGGCGGGAAGTCACTTAATATTAGGAAATTGTCTGAAATACAACATCTGAACAGTGACTTTAGCAGTGGGAACCATAGTATACTATAAGCTGAATAATTGTCTCTGGTCTGTTGAATTATTTGAAAACAACATTGTGTTCAGTTTTTTTTTCTAATAATTCAACAGTAACATCACCTTGAGTGTGCATTATTTACTAATAATTCTACCTTTTGTTGTCAGCTGGTGCATACTCAGTGTAGTTACAGATGTAAGGTTTTATATTGATTCATTGTCTCTCTGTTGTTCAGGGATGAGCAGTGAGTCTGGAGACATAATATATTCTGAAGTAAAGCACAACGCAGATGGAGGTGAGAGAAGTCAGATTGGATTATTGCAACTTGAGAGAACTAGAAAAGTTCATTTTATTCAACTTCATTTACGATTTTGTTGGTTAGGTTAAAGGGCTTTACATTAACTTTTTTAATCACCGGCCACTGTGGCTAGTAGTTTTCCAATGTTACTAGCCACTCTGCATTTCACTAGCCACACTTTTGTTGTTGGGAAAATATATTTTATATGCATAAATTTGACATGCTAAAATTACTTGATTTAAATATTGTGTTATGTCTACATGTGTCCTCATTCATTTGACTTTTTGTGTGTCGAGTATCAGCTTGCTCAATGAGCATGACCAAACGGGTCATGGTTTCATAGTGTTATATTGCAATTAGTTTTTATTTCACATGACTTTTTTTAGAGCTCAAAATTAAAGATGTACCAAATTTATCTCTATAACCACACGAAACAATAATTATTTCTTAGCCACAAATTTTTAATGTGTCAACACAAGCAAAACATAGCTGTATGCTATACTTTTTATTTAACAAAACATTTCTTAAAAAAGAAAAAAAAGCAATTGACTTTTAAAAAATAACCATTGTCATGTATTAAAAATATGCACAGTAATCTGTCCTGGCTAAAGATCTCTCAGATCACCAGAAATGGAGAGTTCATCTCCCATTAAAGCAATATTGTAAAAAAAAAGATAATTAAACCATTTTAACAAAAATGAAAGCAAATAAAACCGTAAGCAAATGAAAGCAGGTGAAAACCCGTGTGTGATAATGAAAGAATGATCACATGCTCACGGTTAACTTTAGGCAATTTAATAATCTGTTCAAAGTGAAAGCAACCGGTGCTGCTAACAAAAAGACACATTTTGAGCTCTCAAAAACATCAGGACTGTGAGTACATGTTCATCACTTTTTGTTTAGTTTATCTGAAAGAGAACCGATAACAGTTGCGTTTCCAGAACCTGTTCCAGACACGATTGCTTCACGATTTGGGAGCGCGCACGCGTTTTAAAGCCTGATTTATACTTCTGCGTCAGGTGACCGGCGTAACCCACGGCGCAGGCAACGCGCGTGGCTGTGCATTTATACTTCTGCGCGCTGTCTCTGTTGGTCTGCATTAACACTTTCGAAACGCTAGTTGGCAGTGAGGTGTAAATGTTCCTCTGTGTCGAGTTTCTTCGCTGCTTTTTTGCTTTTCCTGAACACTTCCGGGATGTACAAGTGGCTCAAACTCGCTCATTTTGAGGCAGGAACCGGCGGACGTGCAACAACTTTAACTATGAGGTAAACACAGAACAAAATCTTCCATCTGGAGCTCCTTCACGGTACTCCACACTTGTAAACAATCGCTCGCGCCATTCGCGCGGCTCTCGGTCCCGCCCAGACTCGTCATCGCTACCAAGCCGACCAATCACAGAGCTTACACTACGTGTCGTTGCGACGTGTAGTTACATTTTTTGAGAGGTGCACGTCAGTGATGGCGACGGCCACGGTGAAGGGCTATGCGTCAGCGCCGTAGCATACGCCGCCGTTTGACGCAGAAGTATAAATCAGCCTTAAGAAGTCGCGTGCATCACATCAGCTGTTAGCGCGAGTGATGATCATTCTCTCATTCGGTATTCATTTGCTTTCTTTTGCTCGCGTGATCACAATTATTTTACTTCTCGATTATAAGATCACATTTGCACACATATTGGGTCATTCTTATATTGTCGAACCCTGCTTTTAGGAAAAATACAATAAAAAAAATATTTTCAAAGAGCCAAAGTGGCTAGCGGGATTGTCTGTCTGACCCGCCAAAACTGAAATCTACCCACATTTGGCGGGTGTTAATGTAAAGCCCACCCGCCCCCTAGTGGCTTGTGGGGAATATAAACTAATTTTTAATTTTTTTATTTTAGTGTTATCGTTTGCTTTCTGCAGGTGCTGATGCTGGAGGTGATGCAATATATGCTCAAGTTTTGAGTAAGAAGAAGAAAACACGTAAGATTATTAGTAGTATTTTTTACTTCAGAACATAATAGTAACTGACAAAATAATTTTACATTATCGGTCTGTTTAATGTGCAGTTACTTCTGATTATCAAGAGTTGTGATCTTAAAACTATATATCATCATGTTGTGTGTTATTGTCATTAATTACATTCATCTGCATGATGTTTTTAAAGGTCTGTGAGTGCAGTGATGAAAACAGACACCAGAAGAACACCAGCGCTCGCTTTGCTTTAGAAATTAATCTGAATGAACTGCTTCTGCACATGAATCACACATACAATACATATACAAGATAAACTGCATTTTAAGCATATATACCCTGTTTTTACTTATATGTTTTGTAAATTGTGTTTCCACTGACCATTTATGTTTTAAGGCAGATCTAATAAAATAGCTTTAATTATTTTATTGGTGCTGCACAAATATAATGTAAGCAGAAATTAGTTTTATACATGTAAATTCAATGAGACTGATAAAGATAATGATTATTTTTTACAGTAAATGTTTTCACATATATAATGCTTTTTCCATTCATTATATAAATTGCTTGAGTTAAAGTGTGAGTTTTTTGAAAAATAAACATATCTGTATTTTGAATTTTTTCTACCTCTGTTAAGCAGGTTGTTTTTACCAATATGTGCTGGTAGTAAAGCAGTTCGGCTAATTGAACTATTTTCGCTATTTCACAGGCTTTAAAATGTGAAAAAAAGTTGTATGTTAATTAAATTCATGTTTATTTTTATAGCGCTTTTACAATGTTGATTGTCAAAGAAGCTTCACACAGAAGTTCTAGAAAATTTAAACTGTGTCAGTCCAGTTTTCAGAGTTATAGTTCAGTTCAGTGTGGTTTAAATTCCCTGCTGGAAGTCCAAACACTGAAGAGCAAATCCATTGATGAGCAGCTCCACATGTCCCAAACCAAGCAAGCCAGTGGCGACATACTAGGACATTCTAATAAAAAGGTAAATAAAATTAAAAAAAATAAATACCTACATAACTCAAGTCAAAGTAGCTCCAATTCGCACTAAATACTCGGCTTATGCTAGTTTTGTTGAATAAAATCAGCAAACAATGAAAAAGAAATATGACAACGAGATGCTGAGAAACGTGTATTATTGTCGGCTAGTGAAGGAGTCGTTGATAATGGAGATTCATTCACAAACAAATCGCTCCCTCCATCAGTATAAGAAGTGAAAGCAGGAGAGGAGCTGTGTTTCAGGACATGATTAGATCAAATTTAACAGGGAGGGTGAATAGTACATTTCTGTACACACAAACACAAGCTTTTTGTCAGGAATGCTCATGCGGTCACTGATCCATCAATCTAGAAAAGTGATGTAAAATTATAATTTTCATAATTGAAATAAAAATAAAAATACTAACATCCAGGAAAACTTCCGATCATAGATATATGTGTATATGTGTATATCTCTGGCTCTGCCGCCCCCAAACCCCCCCGACCCCCTTGAAAACTGGGGGCCCCATCGGTGATCCCTGCAGGGGGGCCTCCGCATTTTGCGCTACGCCACTGCAAATAATCTTCACCAATTGGCGAAAGTGAAGAAAAAAAAAACCTTGAGAGAAACCAGACCCAGTTGGGCACGACCATTTTAATTTCTCCGCAGATGTATGAGCAGAACTCATGGTTGTGGTTTCAACTAGGTCTTATAATCATGTAGACGTTACAGTTGGTTTTGAAAGACATATTTCATCGTTGATATTAAAACAGTGACAATGTCTGGTAGAGGAAAGGGCGGTAAAGGTCTTGGGGAAGAAGGCGCTAAGCGGCACCGAAAGGTTCTCTGTGATAATACCTATCCAGGGAATCACCTAACCCGCTATTCGTCTTCTTGCTCGGCATGGTGGTGTGAAGCGAATTTCGGGCTTGATCCACGAGGAGACGCGCGGTGTGTTAAAGGTGTTTCTGGAGAACGTGATTCGTGATGCTGTGACCTATACTGAACACGCTAAAAGAAAGACCGTCACCGCTATGGATGTTGTGTATGCGCTAAAGCGACAAGGACGTATACTGTACGGGGGTCTGTTCTTCGTACGTGGATTACTCAGTTAGCTGGATTTGGATATTGACGATTTGACAGGATCCAGGATCGTTTCGTTCTTCAAAGCTGATCCGAGAGTTGTTGTCATGGCAACAGTTCTGCTACACTCTAAAAACTGCTGGGTTGAAAACAACCCAATTTGGGTTGTTTTGGTAACCCAGCGCTGGGTAAAAAAGGGACAAACCCAACGCTGGGTTACTTTAACCCAGCAAGTTGGGTTACAAGTTTAACCCAGCATGCTGGGTTGTGATTTTAACCCAACTATTAGTTAAAAATTACTACACTGCTGGGTTGAATGTAACCCAAAATGGGTCAGAAATTTAATCTAGAAACTGATGATTAAAATCACTAAAATAAAAACAATTCTACAGCAATACATAGTTGTTCAGTAATGGAATTTTATTTATGACAAAAGATAAAATGTGTCCAAATGAATTTGAGATTTTTCCCATCTGCACCTCAGCATTAACCCTTTGACTGCCTGCTCTACCAAATGGTTGACCTCGTTTTTACTGTTTTAAATAATGACTGTTAAAGTCATAAGAAAAAATTGGTCTTACACATAATTTTTCAGATTTTTCATAATTCTGGTACTTTTACCATAAACATACATATCAATCATTTGGTAGAGGTTGATATTTTAGAAATTATAACATGTGTTAAAATGTACTGATTGTGTTCAATAGCGACATTAGCAGTTGAGAAATGCAATCCAATTTTTTTTCTTGAAAGGGTTGTTAAAGGGTTAAGACGATTTCTGTGAAAATTTATCAAACTGTATCACAGAAACACTGACTAAAGTTCAGTAACAATGCATCAGACTGAAATCAGACAAATTACCTTAAGAAAATGCATATTTGAAATACATTCAAAAACATTTGCATCATTTATAAATCAGGAATCATCAGTAAGGCAATTGCAATGTTATTGCAGAGTAGAGAAAAACAATAGTATAAGGAAGTAATAATGAAAATGCATCTAAATGACTGAAGTCAGAAAGTAATTTGAGCACAAACATCAACATATTCTCATATAAATCATCAACTGCAATGCAGAAAAAAATATGTGAAAGTAATAATGAAAAGGCATCAAACAGCTTGAAAAAACAAAACAAACAATAAAAACTAAGAAAATACAAATTTTATATTAAGAAAAAATAAGAAAACATTTTATAACTTTCCCTTTAACAATTATGTGCAAACATCAATATATGAGCTATAAAGCAATCATCAGTAAGGATGATCAAGTTCAATGTAAATGCAGTTTTGAAGAAAAAAGAGATATAAAAGTTAAAATGAAACCTGAGGATGGAAGCATTTTAAAACAAATTTGAAATAGGAAAACTTTTTTTAACTTTTACTCGAACAATCATGTGCAAACATCAATCCTGAGATATAAAAGAGTCTGTAAGAAACATTAGTTGCAATGTAACTGCAGTGTAGAGTGTCTTAAAAAATATCTAGTCCATTATTATGTGCCGTCATCATAGCAAAGAGAAAAGAAATCAGTTATTAGAAATGAGTTATTAAAACTATTCTTTAGAAATGGGTGTCATGGTGGCACAGTGGGTAGTACGATTGCCTCACAGCAACAAGGTCGGTGGTTTAAGCCTCAGCTGGGTCAGTTGGTGTTTCTGTGTGGAGTTTGCATGTTTTCCCCGTGTTCGTGTGGGTTTTCTCTGGGTGCTCCTTTTCCCCCACAATCCAAAGTACAAGTTAAAGAACACAGAATCCAAGGAAGCAGTGAGGTCACAGTATTAATGATTACTGTTTGTCAGCAAAAATTAATGCTAGCAGAACCCTTACTGCTAGTGTCTCCTCCCCAGGATGTCCATAAACCACAGTCTGCCACACCAGGGAACACTGCTTGGGGTAGTTCACACCAAAGATGTAGAATGCTTTATAGCAAACGTCCACTTTGGCAAGTAATGTACTTTGCAATAATAAATGGCACAGCACGTGAGCAAAGGCTTGAAAGAAGTGGTGGTCTCCAAGGATGAGAACATGAGGAAACTCAATAGATTCTTGAATTCAATGGATGAAGATACTCAGCAATATTGGTCCCAATCTGAAAAAATAAATAGAAGTAAGATTTATTAAAAACTCAAAAGTGTAAAAGTTAAATATCTTTAGAGTTAACTTTAGAACACCTAAAATACCTTTAGAAGCAATTAAGGCCATAACACACCAAGCTATCAGCCAGTGTTGGCATTAGTTAACCACTGACCATGGCACCATGCTGCAATTTTTTGGCCCGAGTGAAGATGACAATGCAACAACAGGTTTGCCTAAGGAACTTTTTTTAATAAGTAATAGTAAGGCAAGATGAGCATTTGAAATTATTAAGTATTTAATTGTGTTTTCTTAATGAGAATAGATAAGACCCTTCTTCCTGAGCTGGGACTGTTTGCAACCGTATTTGTATAATTTGAAGCCGCATTTAAATTTTCTTTAAAAACTTCAAAAATGAGGCACAATCTCAGTTCAAGATGGATAAAATTGCTGAAATATTTTCCTAAAAAAAAAATCTTTCTGACTGAAGAAAGAATGACATGAACATCTTGGGTGACATCTTTTTATGTTTTACGCAGCAGATGCCCTTTCAACTGCAACCCATCACACTCTCATTTACACACACACTATGGACAATTCAGCTTACCCAATTCAGCTACACCGCATGTCATTGGACTGTGGAGGGGAAACCCATCCAAGGCTCAACCAGCGACCATCTTGCTGTGAGGCGACAGCACTACCCACTGCGCCCCCATGCCACCCTAATAACAAACATAAAAATAACATTTTCATTGTTAATAAAATAACTAAGACAATCATTATGCATTAAATGCATCATTATGCATCGAGAAACCTTTAATTGAATCCTTACCCTCTGAATTGTATTCAAATTGACCTAAAAACGAGGAAAGGTTCGCTCCTGTGCTAAAAATAAAACAAGAGAATGTCACTGGTTGCATGAACAGCAGATTTTAAAAAATAACCAGACAAAAACAAATTGGCATTAGAGTTCAATCTCTCAGTTTAAAGTGTTGAAGTGGCTAATGATTACTAGGGCTGCCCCCTAATAATTGAATAACCATTAGTCAACTAAAAATTTATTATTCATTCATTCATTTTCTTTTTAGCTTTGTCGCTTTATTAATCTGGGGTAACCACAATGGAATGAACCACCAACATATCCAGCATAAGTTTTATGCAGCGAATGCCCTTTCAGCTGCAACCCATCACTGGGAAACAAATACTCATTCACACACATACACCATTGACAATTTAGTCTACTTAATTCACCTTTACCATGTCTTTGGAAACCGGGGCACCTGGAGGAAACCCACGCGAACACGGGGAGAACATGCAAACTCCACACAGAAAGGCCTATTGACCCAGCCAAGGATCGATCAAGTGACCTTGTTGCTATGAGGCGAATGTGCTACCCACTAGTTGCAGAAAAAAAGTCCACACTGGCAAAGTCAATGTATGCTGCATGAATCCGCTGTGTAAAAAATATGCTGGATAAGTTGGCGGTTCATTCCGCTGTGGCGACCCCAGATTAATAAAGGGACTGAGTCAAAAAGAAAATGAATTAATGAATAAATGGTTTATTAATAAATCTGTAATTATTCAACTAATGCTTCAAATGAACATCACAAGTCAACCAGACAAATGTTTAGACAAGGGCAGCCCTAATGATTACAATGAACCAAGTAAAATATTATTACATACCTTCAAATGTGGGGATTAACTCCTCAAGATTGCATTCTTTTAGTTTGATTTTCACGCAATTATCCATCTGAAAAAGAATAACAGATAAAAGCGTTTAAGCAAAATTAAGTAAAAAAAGATCATGTTAGCCAAAAGTCACTATATCACAAAAATACTCCTAAATGATAATAATTATCCAGGGTGTCACATAAAACGGTGGTCAAACTTTTTCTTTTTGCAGTCGAAGATGATTAGGTTGGAATTAGCCTTAGCTCAGACATTTCCGTTAGCATGAAACGACCCTTACATACAGGATTAATTAAAGATAGCTCGAATCACGTCTAGAATGTAAAATGCTCATAGTAAATTAATAACATTTGCTATTCAATGTACAGATGTACAGCTAAACAAAATGTTCATGCAGAGCAGGACAATTATTGTATATATTTTGATTAAAAAAAAACATTGTTAGAAGCTGAATTCAACACTTATGCATCAAAGTATTGTCACAAAAATCCATGAACAAACTTAAGAAATACAAGAGTAAAAATACTACTTACTGCTTTACAGTTAACACCCCAGAAAGATCACAAATCACAGTAACGTTACTTACTGTCATCACCTAGCCAACATAAAAATCTGTGTCATTCAAAAGGCATTTTATTACAATAAAAAGCTCCTAAATTATCCTAGGTGTTGTGTTTATAAAGTGGTCATCAAACATGCTTCACGTTAGTTTCATTAGTTACCTTATACTTTTCGAGCTCCTTCCGATGCCATGCGCGCTTACCCGTCCACCGATCAACAGGTCGGGCGTGAGGCGAGCACAGGTCGCCGTTAGGCGGAGAAACAGGTCCGGAGAAACAGGTCCGGAGAAACACGTCGCCGTTAGGCGGAGAAACAGATCCGGAGAAACAGGTGGCTCGTCAGGCGGACTCGGAGCAACAGTTCAGCCATAAGGCGAGCACAGGTCAGCGTGAGGCGGAGCAACAAGTCGGCCATCAGGCGGAGAAACAGAAAAAAAAGCGCGTGTATATTATACTAAGTAAACTAAGTGTGTTATTTCTTATGAAAATTGTTAAATACACACTAAATAACTTACTTCTCACACAGAATTTCACTCGCTTCCCCTCAAAGACAGCGCAAAGAAAATGGCGGTTTCTCACGTTGATGTCCCTGCATGTTGACGTGACGTGCGTGCTCTCTTTCACGTCCGCGTTCCCAACCCAGCACTGCTGGGTTATAGATAAAGATCGATTTTCAACCCAAATTGGGTTGAATCAACCCAATTTTGTTACCCAGCAGTCTCAACCCAGCATTTGGGTTAAAAAACCAACCCAGCGTTTTTTAGAGTGTAGGTCAAACCTGATCGGGAGCAGGTTCAATTCATATAAACAGGATTAGATTGGCTTACTTCAAGCAAAGATAATACAGAATGTATGTTCCGAATTCTGATATTTTCTTACAGTAGTAGTTATATATACACTTGGGAAAATGGTACATATTTTTACCTATATATATATATATATATATATATATATATATATATATATATATATATATATATATATATATATATATATATATAAAGTTATAGTCATTAATAAAATAAATAAAGTTATACATATTAATAAAACTTATGCAATCTGCACCCTCGAAATGAAAGTACAAAGACTGCCATCTGGTGCAAAGAGAAAACTTATTGATATGAACTTTTTAGATCGCTTTAGTACAAATTGTGTATAATAGAAATGCACAATATGTGACTTTTTTTTAAAGCAATTATACATTTATGCAGTCATAAACATATTTTGATAGTTAATATGCCAGTGATTTGATGCTTCACAAAAGTTGCAGACACCTTTACCAATATGAAAATGCTTTTGTAAACAACCAGTTATTCTTTACACCGATTAAAAAACGGCTACTATAAAGAAAATCTTTTCTAAATTCTTGCATTGAAATACATGATGAATACTCTTGTCTTGACACATGAAAGTGTAAAGCCTGCAGCTCACAACAAATGTGTAAAGTTCTTGCGTGTCATATTTAACAAACCGTCGACTGCTAATTTGATGTAATTTTGCTCACATGGATAATTGAATATTAATCAGATGATGTCATTACGCTGCTGTGCTGTCAGCCAATCGTTGCATTGCTGATCATGATTTCGAGGATCGATAGATCTGTCCTTCACAACACACGCAGCGATCTCAGATCAGTTCATCCAGACATTCTAATCTGATTCGCGAACTTGTTTGAAGAACCAAATTAGCGAGAGATCAGTTATCAAGATGAAAAGATCCAGGATCTGCCAATAATCTTAGATCATTTAAGCGAGGTACGAAGAACGGACCCCGGGTTTGGCGGTTATGGGCTTCTGATACAAACATTCATAACGGCTCTTTTAGGAGCCACACACACTAAGAACAAGTTTCCGTATGCTAATTTATATTACGTTATGCAAAAACACGCTAGTTTCTAACGATACTATAAAATCAGTGTCAATGTGGCCTTTAAATTTTTCATGCAGTTACAAATATGAACGTTAAATATAACTCCAGTAATTATCAATAAGCGCCATGTTTGTACAAGATTATATTTTTTCTGCCAGAAACAAAAAAAAGAAAAAAACGCAGGGTGGATAGGGTGGCAACTGTCGATGGGAGGGATTAATTTTAAAGCATTTTAGTGGCTGTCCTTTGTGTAAAGAAAGGTTAAATTTCTCCAATGAACTCACTCTATGGGCGGGGTCATGAAGACACCCAATCGCAATCCTCCGTTTTTCCGCTTTCAAATTAGCATAGGACAGGGTATAAAATCCCCCGATTTGTATAAACGTTTACGTTACTCTGAGGAAAATTAAGTTCTTACACCATGCCTGAACCAGCGAAGACCGCACCTAAGAAGGGCTCAAAGAAAGCGGTGACTAAAGCCGCTGGTAAAGGAGGAAAGAAGCGCAAGAGGACAAGAAAGGAGAGCTATGCCATCTACGTGTACAAGGTGCTGAAGCAGGTTCATCCTGACACTGGAATCTCCTCAAAGGCGATGGGCATCATGAACTCGTTCGTCAACGACATTTTCGAGCGCATCGCCGGTGAGGCTTCCCGTCTTGCTCATTACAACAAGCGCTCCACCATCACATCGAGAGAGATCCAGACCGCCGTGCGTCTGCTGCTGCCCGGGGAGCTGGCCAAACACGCCGTATCTGAGGGCACAAAGGCCGTCACTAAGTACACCAGCTCCAAGTAAAGCGCCGAGTCATCTACTGCTACCCAAAGGCTCTTTTAAGAGCCACCCATACTGTCTTTAAATGAGCTTATCTTAAACGTGTTATTTGTTTACTCGCAAAATTCACATCGAAGCACAAACTCTGGCTTAAGTGCTAGAATATTAATGGTCTTCAAACATATATACGGATGTGTACGTACTTCGTCTATTAATAATTAACTTGTAAAGTAATGTTTTCTGTGTTTTGCTATATGTAGTGTGATAGATGAAGAAAGCAGGAAGCTTGTAATCATTGGCTTGCATGGTCTTTGTTTTTCGGCATTCATGGAAATATCATTTTTATTTTCGAATAAAGAAACTCAAAGGTTTAATCACTCTAGGATCAGTAAATAGTGATTGTTTATTTCATTGTCTTATGGGAACTAGGAGACCAACTAAAGGTGCAATAACTGGCAGCTTCAGATATCGTTAATGCGATGGAGAACAGGAGAAAGCAGAAAGGCTTTAATCTCTTTTGCAATTTCTTCAGTAAACTTAAATTGTTCTGAATACTGTATTGTTTGAGTTTCCACTGAAAATGCTACATGAGCTAAACGTTTCCTTCCTTTGGTGAGCAGGACCACAATGATTACACTATGTTTTCCTAATGATCACTGACTGACCACTTTGTCAAGATTGTGTATTATACATTTTATAATTTTTAGACTTTGGGTTCAATAATAAACTAACCAGAACATAACTTACTTTTACAACTTTGGGATTTTAATGGAAGCTGGCATCTTTTTTGTTGCATTACGTAATTATTTTGACTATATACACTTATAAAGTGTTTATTTCTTAGACCGATTATTGAATCTATGTAGCTCAATACTGTTAGACTCAACCGAAAACCATAAAAAGCAGTATATTTTAGGATTATCTTTGTTTTGTTGTTTTTGTCAGCTTTAATTAATTTTATTTAGTATATTTTTGGTTAATTAAGTGTTTTTTATGTAGATACACTTCCCCACTCCTTTTGACTCTTTATCCCAGTCTTGTCAAAGGTTTATAACTGCAGCTTTTTTATTTTTAGTTTTGCATGATGGGGGTTTAGCCTAAAACATTTATTCTAACGCATAGACTTAAATGTCTAGATGTTACAGAACAAAGGCAGAAAAAAATAGCAAAGAGCGCGGGTCTTGCGATTTGGAGGGAAGTGCAGTGATTGGTTTTCAACTGAAACATATTCTGACCAATAGGCGAGAGGTAGGTTGGCTTTAAAAGCTGATTGTCGCACCTCTAGGAGTATTCGTTGATTCCTGAGACCCAACTGAGCAACATGAGCGGAAGAGGCAAGACCGGAGGAAAAGCCCGCGCTAAGGCCAAGACTCGCTCCTCCAGGGCGGGCCTGCAGTTCCCAGTTGGTCGCGTTCACAGACTTCTCCGCAAGGGTAACTACGCTCAGCGCGTCGGTGCTGGAGCTCCAGTGTACTTGGCCGCTGTGCTCGAGTATTTGACCGCTGAAATCCTGGAGTTGGCTGGAAACGCTGCTCGGGACAACAAGAAGACTCGCATCATTCCCCGACACCTTCAGCTGGCGGTGCGCAATGATGAGGAGCTGAACAAACTTTTGGGCGGAGTGACCATCGCTCAGGGCGGCGTGTTGCCCAACATTCAGGCAGTGCTGCTGCCCAAGAAGACCGAGAAGGCCGCCAAAGGCAAATAAATTTTAATTCGGATTTCATTTACCCAAAGGTTCTTTTAAGAACCACCCACTTACTCCTCAAAAAGCAATTTACTTGCCACTGTTAATTATAGTTAAATGCACTTATTTTGATACGTTTATTGAAAATAAGTGTTCGTGGGATCTTCAAACGTATGTAACGCGAGTTTCTTTAAAATGTAGTTTTCTTTGGAGAACTATTTCCCCCAACTTTAGTCGATTTAACATCTTCGACTGGCGTTTTAATGCGTTTTGAACACCAAAATAAGAGTAGTTTGAACTGAAATGTTTACAGTTTCAGAAGTAGTAAACTTTTTCAGAAGTAGTAAACTTTTTTTAGTAAACTTAAACTTTTCAGATTAAATGGTTACCAGAAAGGAAAATACATCAACAAAAATCACAAAGAAAAATTTCTTGGGTTTCAAATGCTTTAAGACTATATATTTTTTGTGCAATAAAAGTTCCAATTATTGGATTCTTAAAGTCTTATTTCAAAAACAAAGATTTAGGCCTCACGCAAAGTATTAACTGAAATTTTGTCTTGTAGGTCTTAAATGATAAGTTTTCATTTTTCCTTTTGCCAGTCTTCTTGATGTTTTCTTTAAAACATTTGGCCTTCAAATAAATAATAAAAATATAATATGGAAAAAATAGTTGTATGTCTGGCATTTTGTTCATGGTTTTTAAGTCTTAAATTGGACTTTGTGAAAACCCTAAATTAGGTGAATCAGAAAGCAACATTAGCTAAATTAAGCTGAACTGCAATCATTTATTTTTTTAATAAAATGTGTAACATTAAGTATTTTATGAATTCTGCTCTTTCAGTGTATTTGTTACTATTGGTTTACTTGTTTATTATGTAACAGTCTGCATGTGTTTTTAAATTTGGGACTTGTGGTTGTAATGGGGAAGAAAGAGTATGGACAAGTTCTGTACATCTTCAATGGACTGAGTAAACAAAAGCTTCATCTTGCTTTCCCTTATGAAATTGAGACCATTATTGCAATAATGGGTGCCTCTGAAAAGTGCTGAAGACCTAAATGATGTGTCAGATGGTGATATGAAGACTTTCAGAAAAGGGAAAAAAATAGTGCGAGACTGATATCGGCAGACAGAGGAGACCACGATGTCAAATGTACTCTCTTGCCCCCACTGCATTACAAACACCTCACATAAACAGTATTTCATGTTTCGTAATACTATCTACAAATAAATGCATATATAGGCCTAAATACATATGAATGTGTATTTTTTAAATCTATAAATAAAAATATTAAAGGCTTTCAAGGATTTTGGAAGCTGGTGATGAAGGGGTGGCGCTGTGGGTAGCACAATCGCCTCATAGCTAAAAGGTTGCTATTTCGAGCGCCAGCGGGGTCAGTAGGCATTTCTGTGTGGAGTTTGCATGTTCTTCCCGTTTTTCCGTGGGTTTCCTCCTGGTGCTTCGGTTTCCCCCACAGTCCAAACACATGTGGTATAGGTGAATTGAATGTATAAATTGTATGTGTGTAAACGCAAGAATGTATGAGTGTTTCCCAGTGTTGGGTTGTGGCTGGAAAGGCATCCGCTGTGTAAAACGATGGATAAGTTGCCGGTTTGGTGACCCCTGATTAATAAAGGGACTAAACCAAAAAGAAAATGGATAAAGATGCTGATGATTGAAAAAGGTCCATTGCCAAAAACTTGTATATTACTATTATATTTAAAGCATTTTGGGTGAACTGTCCTTTTAAATGCAATTATTTAAAAAGATTGACACGCCTAATGTGGCGTTGTAGCTCCGCCTTACGGGTTTCAACTAGGTCGTCTAAGCGACTGTAAAAGTTCTACGGTGTTGCGCTAATGTACATTTCTGAATCTGAGTTGTAATAGTTGCGAATCATGTCTGGCAGAGGTAAAGGCGGCAAAGGACTGGGAAAAGGAGGCGCTAAGCGTCACCGTAAAGTTCTGCGTGATAACATCCAGGGAATCACCAAACCCGCCATCCGTCGTCTCGCTCGCCGTGGTGGAGTCAAGCGTATCTCTGGTCTGATCTACGAGGAAACCCGCGGTGTGCTCAAGGTGTTCCTTGAGAACGTGATCCGTGACGCTGTTACCTACACTGAGCACGCCAAGAGGAAGACCGTGACCGCCATGGATGTAGTTTACGCGTTGAAACGACAGGGACGCACTCTGTACGGGTTCGGCGGTTAAACGTCTACGATCAGTCCATTAACTAAAGGCTCTTTTAAGAGCCACCCACATTTTCATAAAAGAGGATTTTGTGTCGTTTAATTTCAGTTTTAATGTACTTGTGGTCAGGTTTATGTTCAAGTTAAAATTTATCGTATATTTAAACTAACTGGAAGGTACCTGTTTTAGTGAGGAAACATGGGGGGGTTTGAAAGGAGCTTGAATGTAGTGTGAATTTTATTTTGAACTGTATGCGTCATACTGACAAACTTTTATTATGAAAATTTATCTGCCTGAGTCAGTAGTTCCGGTGAAAAAGTTCAAGCTAAAAGAGCGGGTGGAGATCGCTACTTTACTGAAGACTCGTTACATAAGGGTTAATATTGTTTGCATAAGCACTCTCAGAAGAGGCGCAAGCTTATGCCGAGTTCAGACCGCGTGATTTTAGCCTCGATTTGACCCGCCGACATGTTTTTTAGTGTTTGCAGAATGCTGTGTATATTGTGATTTTAGCCTTGTGTGAAAGCATTTAGGATATAATAGTAAGCAGCTAAGTTTGCATTAAGCTAATTCATGCACTATTGTATTAATGTATTTGTTGTATTCTGTTCAGCTTTTACGTTGGTGTTTGATTTAAAAAAATAATAAAACCATCAGTTAAACTTTACCATCTATCGGGAAGGACATTAGCCGTGAATGTTTTACCATATTTTTTCTACCATAAATATTAGATTTTTAGACTTTTTAAAATGTCCAACCGTATAATTCTGTTTTCTAATTGTGTGTGTGTGTGTGTGTGTAAAACTACACAAAAAGACTAGTCCAGTCACATGGAATAACGCGTACTGTATAAATGAGGCTGTTCTTTTGTTTGCACAAGTCTCTATGAAATTATAATTAATTTAAAAAGGCGCTTGTTTGTAGCTATTAGCATCAGTTATTTATTTAGTTTTTTTTTTTTCATTCTATGAAAATTTAGTGTTCTAAAAATATATAATTTTGAGCGGGAAAATAAAACGACGAATGACCATTCTCTATGCGGAAGTGATTCAAGGGCGGGGCCTACAGTTTCAAAGCATACAATTGGTAGATTTGCTTGCCTACTGGTCTCCTTTATGACCAATGAAATCAGCTTCACACATTCATTGCGCCAATGCACATATCATAAAAGGCTGGTTGCTCCTTCGAAAATTTACATAAGGGCCTGATAAATAGCCAGCGTTTCGGCGTTAAACCTATTCAGTTCTGCACCGAACAAATATGCCTGAACCAGCAAAGACCGCACCCAAGAAAGGCTCCAAGAAAGCGGTAACTAAAACCGCCGGCAAAGGAGGAAAGAAGCGCAAGAGGACCAGGAAGGAGAGCTATGCAATCTACGTGTACAAAGTGCTGAAGCAGGTCCATCCTGACACCGGAATCTCTTCTAAAGCGATGGGCATCATGAATTCTTTCGTCAACGACATCTTTGAGCGCATCGCCGGTGAGGCGTCTCGTCTCGCTCACTACAACAAGCGCTCCACCATCACATCCAGAGAGATCCAGACCGCAGTGCGACTACTGCTGCCCGGGGAGCTGGCCAAACACGCCGTGTCTGAGGGCACCAAGGCCGTTACCAAGTACACTAGCTCCAAGTAAAGCGCTGAGTCAACTTCTGCAACTCAAAGGCTCTTTTAAGAGCCACCCATATTTTCATCTAAAGAGCTTTTTATTTGATTAGTGGGTTAATAACCGTCATTTCCAATAAGGTCTCCGCTCCGTGTATGCCTAGTGCAAAAGTGGCCAATCCTCTTCCCGGAGAACTACCATCCTGCAGATTTCAATAGCAACCCATATCAAACACGTCTGCTTGACGTCCGTCCTGCCTGCGTTCAGCTCCTAATTAATTGGTTCAGGTCTGTTTGAAATGGGTAGCAACTGAAATTTGCAGGAAGGTGGTTCTCCAAAAGGGTTGGCCACCCCTGGCCTAGAGGCACATCTCCAGGGTTGTTTGTTTGTCTCCCCCTCTCTTAGTTGACTTGCATTTAAGCTGGTACAATTAATGTTTTTTGTATCATTTTATAGTTATTTTGTAACTAATTCAGTTGTAATCATTGCAAATTACTGTCTTGAAATTATTTAATTTCAAGTATTATGATGTGAATTGTTTTTGCTCCATATTGCAATTGTTACGAACTTATACAAGTCTAGGGTTTTTTTTTTTTTTTTTTTTTTTGCTGAAAAGGTGTAACAAAGACCAAAAGTTGGTAAATAATATGAATTAGAGCTAATTTGAAACTAAATAAATAAACGAGGAAAACACACTTTAATCCTCAGCCCCAGAGTGAAGAGTCAACACAAAAGTTTAGAAAACAATCAAGGATTTTTTAATACAGATAAAGAGATTTAACAGAAACTATATCAAAACTGATTTAGTAAAGCCTAAAACAACAAACAGAAAACAGCTAACTATAAGTTCAGAGGACTAGCTTACCTAATGCAAAAAAAAAAAAAAAAAATCAAAGATGAAAATCACTACCACATAGTAGCAGATTTTTAGCTATTATAACAGCTATATATTATATATTATTATATATATTAGGGCTGCTCGATTATGGGAAAAATCATAATCACGATTATTTTGGTCATAATTGTAATCATGATTATTCAAAACGATTATCAGTTGAAGTCAAAATGATTCGCCCTTCTGTGAATTTATTTTTATATATAAATATTTCCCATATTATGTTTAACAGAGCAATTTTTTACACTATTTCCTATAATATTTTTTGTTTAAAGAAAGGCTTATTTGTTTTATTTCAGCTAGAAAAAAATCAGGTTTAAATATTTTGAAACCTATTTTAACAGCTTAATATTATTAGCCCCCTTAAGCAATATATATTATTGCTTATCTGCAGAAGAAACTACTGTTACATTATGACTTGCCTATTTACTGTAATTAAGCCTTTAAATGTAACTTTAAGCTGAATACTAGCATCTTGAAAAAATCTAGTAAAATATAATGTGCTATCATCATAACAAAGATAAAATAAATCATTTATTAGAAATGAGCTATTAAATCTGTTATGTTTAAACTGTGTTTTAAGCATCTTCACTGTAAGAAGAAACTTTAACTACAAAAATCCTTCAGTCAAGAGCAGTGAGTGAATTTTGTCCTTTTGTTGTTTGGTTAATAATAAAAACAGCAGCAGGAATATCGCACGCTGTCACTTTAAGAATAGTGCGGCTCCCATATGGTTTCTCTTTCGCGTGTCTATTGATTCTCAATTTGTTTGTTTATTACACAAATGAGGATTAATATGAATAATCACTAAACACCGTGCATGTACTTGACCATTAAAGTGCTCGCATTAAGATGGCTATAGATGTGCATGTGCTCTGCTGTCTGAGGCTAAGCGCAGCACGCACACACAACAGCACGTGCTCTTTTGTGCTTTTAAAAACATGAATGATGCGCATCCCATGCTGCAAAAGTTACAGTACAGCACATGCTTTTTTTTTTAGTCACTTTCACGTGGAACTGGAAAGGAGGCAGTATATGATGGAATAATCGTTTATCTCAATTAATGGTTTTTCATAATCGTTAGAAGCCGTAATTGAAACCGGATTTTCGATTAATTGCACAGTCCTAATATATATATATATATATATATATATATATATATATATATATATATATATATATATATATATATATATATATATAAGGCAGAACTACAATCAGAACAGCTGTAGTTGAGACCAATTCTTAGTTGTAACACCTCCTCCCTCAGAGTAACGTCAAAAAGAAAGTTTACATTATTTCAATAATACTGAAATTAAAGTAGGTTTGAGTATTGAAAGAAATATCCATGTAGTCACTCTTCAAATATTCTGTTTTTGTAACTGTGTCTTATCTTAAGTTGTCCCTGCAAACAGAAGAGCTATATAAAAATAAAATGAAACATAGGACTGTCATACCTCCATACCTCTATACACTTACTTTGTCGAAGCGTTTTCATGACACAGGATAATTGAATCTTTGGACAGCAGACATTATAGACAACTATTAGTGTTTTGCTGCAACAAATACTGTATAATAAACTTTAGATGATTGCTTTGTTGTTTACTGATTTTGCATTATGGAGGTTAATATGCTACACACTGGTGCAGTGTTTAAAAGTACTGAAACATAGTTAAAATACTTTGTAAAACAAGCATTTGCTTCTAGGCAATTGATGAATTATCTAGACTTATAGCTCATATATTATATTATAGCTTATATATTACTATAATATCATTATTGTCGTATAATTTGTAATTTAATATATTAATTCATTTTGTTGTATGATGAGCTACGGTGTGCAGTTTCCTTTGGATTAATAAAGTCTAAACAAACAAACAAACAAACAATAAAATATGAAAGGGTCTTATGTTAAAAAAAGAAAAAGAAATACATTAATAACTCTTACTGCACAACTTGTTTTATTTTTTCCAGGCCGTCTATGCAGAAAAAACAACTTCAGTGAAAGAACAGAGGATAAATGACTCCATATATCTAAAACAAAATTCAGGGCGTCTCCTATTTGAATTCAATGATAAAGCCTTGACCCTCTTCATATCAATAAGGTCTTTGTAGTCTGCTGAAAAATATTTTATTGCACTTGTTTTGCTCTGTGTTTAAACGGAGAAAGCACAAGTTTTGTGTCGAGGCGATTCTCTGAGAGGCGGTGATTGAGTCTACACGGTTCTCATGTGGTAGATAACTTCACAGCGCCGCCCAGCAGAGCTTCATTATTCACTGCTAGTTGTAGGTGAAGGTTCCTTCTCAGAGAAATGGCTGAAACTGCTCCAGCACCCGCTGCCTCACCGGCGAAAGCTCCCAAGAAGAAAGCGGCGTCCAAGCCCAAGAAAGCGGGCCCAAATGTTCGCGACCTCATCGTCAAGACTGTGACCGCATCCAAGGAGAGAAACGGCGTGTCTCTCGCAGCCCTGAAGAAGGCTCTCTCCGCCGGAGGATATGATGTGGAGAAGAACAACTCCCGCGTCAAGACCGCAGTCAAGGCCTTGGTGACTAACGGCACTCTGGCCCAGACCAAAGGCACAGGCGCCTCCGGTTCATTCAAGCTCAACAAGAAGCAAGCCGAGCCCAAGAAGGCAGCCAAGAAAACCGCCGCGAAAGCCAAGAAGCCGGCTGCTAAGAAACCCGCCGCTAAGAAATCTCCAAAGAAGGCAAAGAAACCGGCGGCTACATCTGTGAAGAAGGCGACAAAGAGTCCCAAGAAAGCCAAGAAGCCAGCAGCTGCCAAGAAGGCCACAAAGAGCCCAAAGAAGGCAAAGAAACCAGCAGCTGCCAAGAAAGCAGCCAAGAGCCCCAAGAAGGTGAAGGCAGTCAAGCCCAAAACAGCTAAACCCAAGGCGGCGAAGCCTAAAAAGGCGGCTCCCAAGAAGAAGTAATCGACTATTTATGCTCGATTCTTCCTAAAACCCAAACGGCTCTTTTAAGAGCCACATACATAACAGTAAAGAGCAATATCTCCATGGTCTTAAACAACTGATTATAAAACGGCAATTAAATAAACCATGAACTACATGGTAGTGAAGGTAGACAAATATTCGGAAGCATCCCTTTTCGTTCACGATGAGGAAAACTTTGGTTATCTAAAAAGTTATGTTTCATCCACGTGAATCAATTTACTCACAATTAAATGCCTAAAATACATCAATGGTGGGCGTACAGGTTCAGCACAAACGTATGACGCTTGCTTAAAAGCTTATTGTTTCCATAACATTTCCACTTAAAGCATTCACTCGCATATGGAAATCACAAATAGGAGTTTGCTTATTGTACTCTACACGAAAAAAAGCTAAGAATTGAACAAAAAAGTTACCTGATAAACAAATCTACAAGCTAATAAAAATGTCGTTTCGCCATTACTTTCCATGCAATGAGAGCTTATCCTAAAAAAAAATAACAAAGAAATAAAAGAAATGCACTGCCATTGGTCAGAATTGGCACGTCACACTACGACGTAAATGCAAGAGCCAATCAAACGCCTCAACAACTACTGACCTCCTAATATAAAGCCGAGTCTGCATCCTACCAATATCATTCTACTCTTGAGCTCGAACTGAAAGTGTACTCACAATGGCTAGAACTAAGCAGACCGCCCGTAAGTCCACCGGAGGAAAAGCTCCAAGGAAGCAGCTCGCCACTAAGGCTGCCCGTAAAAGTGCACCGGCAACCGGCGGCGTTAAGAAGCCTCATCGCTACAGACCCGGTACCGTGGCTCTGAGAGAAATCCGCCGTTATCAGAAGTCCACTGAGCTGCTGATCCGCAAACTGCCCTTCCAGCGTCTGGTGAGAGAAATCGCTCAAGATTTCAAGACTGATCTGCGTTTCCAGAGTTCCGCCGTCATGGCCCTGCAGGAGGCCAGCGAGGCTTATTTGGTGGGTCTGTTTGAGGACACAAACCTGTGCGCCATCCACGCCAAGAGAGTCACCATCATGCCCAAAGACATCCAGCTGGCCCGCCGCATCCGCGGAGAGCGCGCTTAAATTCACTGGTGACGCATTAAAAAACCCAAAGGCTCTTTTAAGAGCCACCTCAATGTGTCTAGAAAAGATGCTTTTGTTTTTTTTTTAATGGGTGAAAACAGTACTGTTAATATAGCACGCTTTAATATAGGCAGGTGTTCGCCAGCTGCTTTGTCCCCTAAACCTCCTTATAACAAAAAGCACATCTTGAATAATCAGCATATTTTGCTGAAGAGGTTCTCTACTAGCCATAAAGCTAACTGTTGCGGTCAGCTTGCACACTTTAGCTTAATGCGGTATCAAAGTATTCTTGAATTAAAGTAAAATGTTACATTGATGTTTAATAAATACTATAGCATCATTTTAAAGTACACTATGCTTCAGATACTTGATTGATGAATATTACAACATACTGTAAATTAAAAAGTACAGTATACTTTAGTTTTAACTTCAATAATCTATAATATTCTGTTGTTTATTGCATTCCTTTCTGAAATACCGGAATTAATTTGTTCAGTCATGACATTTTAAGGTATGTTATTTTCAGATAACCACTGATTCTTGTATCACATCCATTGTGGTACGTTCACCTTTCATTTTTATACTTTCTTATCTCTTAGTTTTTTTTTTTACTTTTTGACACTGTTGTGACTGAATAATAAGTAGGGTAGTATATGCTCAATTCAGCCATTTTAGTTTCAGTTGACTTTGCGTTTAACTAAATATTTAATAAACCATTAGACCTCAGAACAATCCATCTAAATGTTGATGTTTTGTGTCTATCCAGGCACGTGCACAGATAGGGCTCAACCTGTTCAGTGCAGATGCCCTTTTTTTCTCTTGTATTAAAAACTGGCCTTCGAAAATGAACAACAGTAAAGTGAAGGAAACATTATCATTAAATATACCCTATAGTTGAAGAGTGCGGTATTGAGTAATATGTTTATATTACTATGGGTTTGCAAAGGCTTTAAAGTTCGACTCAAGTGCTCAGAAGGCAGATAATTGATTTTCATTTACAATAAAATTTTAGTTCAGAGGTGGTAAGTTGTAAAAAAATAATTACATTCAGAATAGGTCCAGATAATACTGAGTCTAAGAGTGATTCGCTAGCATTACTGTTTGTTTTACAAAATTCAAAATGTTTGTAAAGTCAGTATCATCATTTTGATGTATTTGTCCACACGACGTAGTTTGTGTTTGCATTTCCAGCTGTTAAAAATCTTGTGTTGGGTCTGCGTATTCATTTTATATTTTATAAATTATTGAGATTATTAAGTGTTCACAGTTGGGCAGAGAGATAAACTAAATGTACATTCTTCTTCTTCTTCTTTGGATTTTACTGGCGGTTGGCAACCAGACTTATAGGTGCATTACCGCCACCGACTGGAATGGAGTATGGAACTAGTTGAATACTTTCTGAAGTGTATAAATTACATGAAGGGAGAGAAAGGGGGAGGAAATTGTGAGGGGAGGGGGAGAGAGGAAAAAAAAAAAATAAATAAAACAACATTTTTTATACTAGTAATAAAATGTAATAAAAATGGGGGATGGGTGGACTAACAATTCTTCTGATATTATCTCTATATTCTTTCCTCTAACTGGGTTTCTTTAATAAATTTTATTATATCATTATATACCTCACTAGATTTGTTTCCTAATAAACCTGCCAATGTTAAATGCTGAAGATTGCTCTTTTTAACTGACTGAATAAGATCGTTTCGTTCTTTATTATATTTACTACAGTGAAATAAAATATGTTCTATTGTTTCTTGTTGATTACAATGTATACATTGCCCAGTTGGGTGTTTCCCTATTTTATGTAATGTATGATTGAGTCCAGTGTGACCTATTCTCATCCGAGTTATAATACTTCCTTCCCTACGATTTCTGTTCTCCTTCCTCCCAGTTCCAACTTGTTTCTGTATATTATATAAATGTCTACCTGTATCAATGTTATCCCAGTGTACTTGCCATATTGATTGTGCATATGTTCTTATCATGATTTTAGCTTCTGCTTTCTATATGTACATAATTTACATTAACTGTATATAACTGTCGCCTAGGCCTAACCGCTTTTCGGGCCCTCCTAAAGACACGTGACTTCGTGAAGCTCCGCCTATGCTGGTTTCAACTAGGTCCTATAGATGATTGTAAAGGTCGCTTGTGTACAGTTGATGTGTTATTATACGTCGAATTGTCACTGCGATCATGTCCGGAAGAGGCAAAGGCGGTAAAGGACTGGGAAAAGGTGGCGCTAAGCGTCATCGTAAGGTTTTGCGTGATAACATCCAGGGAATCACCAAACCCGCCATTCGTCGTCTCGCTCGCCGTGGTGGAGTCAAGCGTATCTCTGGTCTGATCTACGAGGAAACCCGTGGCGTGCTCAAGGTGTTCCTTGAGAACGTGATCCGTGACGCTGTTACCTACACTGAGCATGCCAAGAGAAAGACCGTGACCGCCATGGATGTAGTTTACGCGCTGAAACGACAGGGACGCACTCTGTACGGGTTCGGCGGTTAGACCCCAACGATCGGTCGTTATATCAAAGGCTCTTTTAAGAGCCACCCACATTGTCATAAAAGAGGCTTTAGACTACTTGATATTTGGTTTCTAGAGTAACTACATATTTTGAAAATTAATATTCCATGGGAAACCAGATAGACGCAGTGAGGAGTGTCGCTGATCAAATCAAAGTCCTACCCTAATTACTTATAGTACTATTGTAATCTGTTCACATCGCTAAAAACCAAAATGATAATCAGAAAAACGTAATAATTGTCCTTTATGTTCTTGTATTGAGTCACTGAGCCACATGGGGGCGCTAGTAGTTACTTTAGGGCCTATAAAAGGGTAAAGGAAGAATGTGTGGGAGGATCATTGTGTTGTCCATGTGGCATGCAGAGCTGTTTGCTGTTTAGCTCTGAAGCTAATAAATCTTGATCTTAAAATCTTCGACTCCTCATGCTTGAGCAAACACTACATCCTTTACAATGTAAATCGATCAAAATATTTTGTAATAAATTCGTTTGCCAAAAAACACTGCAATTTATTAACCTGGAAAGGTTACAGAGTAGTTAAAAGGGCGGGAATAAGGACGCTAGCAAACTCCATTCTATATTCAATGTCAAATAAATGTTATTCAGACTAGAATTAAAATAAAAAAGAATGTAAGGTTCAGAGATTGTATTGACCTTTTTCTTTAAGCATTACTGTTAGAATATGGAAATTTAACTAAATGTGTATATTTTCGCAAAACGGCAGTATATTTAAGTTCATTGTGATTGTTAAAATGTGGCCTTTTCATGCGAGTTTATTTCTGAAAAGACACAGTAAAATCCCCATTAAGGCTAAGGTTAAACTTTTACCACCTGAGCATTTTAGGGCCTACTCACACTATGCCATCCGTACCGTGCCCAGGCCCGTTTCCCGGATCGTTTGAGAAGTGTGAGTGCGCTGAATCGGGCTCAAGCACGGTTCACTTGGCCGGCCCTGGCCAGGTTGGAAGAGGTGTGCCTGAGCGCGGATCACTTGGGCTTTGGCACGGTACGCTTACCTCAAGATGGCGGCGCGTGCAGACGCAGCGGCTCGGAGCTCCCAGATACACAGCAGCGTTTTTGTTTTTTTTTGTCTACTAAGTTTACTCTGCCAGGCGCTAAGCAAACAGCTACACTATGGACGTGCCGAACTACTTAAAATAGGGAACCGCTGTCAGAATTACTCATCTGGAAACTTCAGTTCTATTCCACCGGAGATCTTACTCTCTGGGGAGCTCAGTGGAACGCTCATCATACCGCCTGCAAAGCGCCGGAGACGGCGAAGAGACCGGAAGCAAAAGCGAGGAAAGAGAGCCGGCATACGGGCTAGGCTACAAGCTAACCCAAACAGACCAGCACTTCCGAGTCTCTTTCTTACGAACTCCCGGTCACTCGTGAACAAGATGGACGAAGTAAGACTAAGGATTATTTCACATCGCCTGAACAACTGTGTGATGGTAATCACAGAGACTTGGCTGGATAGCGCTGTCCCCGATGCGGCGATCGAGCTAGCAGGGCGCTCCGTATACCGAGCAGATAGAACGTCCGACTCCGGTAAGAACAAAGGTGGCGGAGTGTGTATATACATAAATAATGACTGGTGTACATCAGCGGACATTATTAGGTCGCACTGCTCACCTGACATCGAATACATGTCACTAAAATGCAGACCGTTTTACACTCCAAGAGAGTTTGCTGCTATTGTTATCACAGCTGTTTACATTCCACCACGGGCTAATGCTAAGCTAGCGCTAGAAGAACTGCATGAAGCTATTAACAGCCAGCTGAATGCATATCCAGAGGGAGCTGTGATTGTAGCAGGAGACTTTAATCATGTGGATTTAAAAACGGTCATGCCTAAACTACACACCAGCATACACTTTCCCACCAGAGACAACAGTATATTGGATCAAGTATACACCAATATCCCAGGAGCTTATAAAGCAGCCCCATCACCTCATCTAGGTTTATCAGACCATATCTCCATACACTTGACTCCGTCCTATAGACCGTTGATCTGCAGAACAAAGCCAACTGTAAAAACGGTGCAAGTTTGGAATGAGGAATCTTCTTCACGCCTACAAGACTGTTTTGAAAACACAGATTGGGACTTGTTTGCGAGTACAGATTTGGAGGAGTATAGTTCATCTGTTTTAGCATATATTGCTTTCTGTACTGACTCTGTGCTAACCACCAAAACCAGCGTGGTGTTCCCGAATCAGAAACCATGGTTTGACAGGAATGTGTGCTCTTTACTGAGAGTGAGGAACGCTGCCTACAGGTCAGGGGACAGGCATGCTTACAGAAATGCCCGAAAAGATCTAAAGAAAGGCATTAAAGCAGCCAAGTACAGATATCAGCAACGGCTGGAGGGACACTTTGAAAACAACAACCCTCGCAGCATGTGGAGGGGCATTAAAGCCCTAACAGACTATAAGAACAACCCCTCATTGTCCAGCCATGATGCCTCGCTTCCTGACACCCTGAACGAGTTTTTCGCACGCTTTGACAGTGACTCCAACAGAATGGAAATCCAGACGGCACCATCACCCACAGAAGAGACGATACCCGTCTTCGAGTGTCACCAGGTGAGATCCACTTTAAGGAGGATCAATATCAACAAAGCAGCTGGTCCAGACAAGGTTTCAGGTCGCACACTTAAGTCTTGTGCTGACCAATTGGCGGGGGTGTTCACCAACATCTTCAATCTGTCTTTAAAACAGGCCATAGTCCCTATGTGCCTCAAATCAACAACCATTGTTCCAGTGCCCAAAAAGCAATCAGTGAAATGTCTGAACGACTATCGACCAGTTGCTCTGACACCCATTATAATGAAGTGTTTTGAGAGACTTATTCTTTCACACATCAAAACAAACATCCCTACTGACCTGGACAGCCTACAGTTTGCTTACTGCAGGAACAGATCAACAGAGGATGCAATCTCAATCACACTTCACACCAGCCTTTCTCATCTGGAACATCCCAACACATATGTTAGGATGTTATTCGTAGATTTCAGCTCTGCATTTAATACCATTGTACCATACAAACTGGTAAACAAGCTGAAAAATTTAGGATTAACCCCTTCACTCTGTTCTTGGATTTTGGATTTTCTCACTAACAGACCACAGAATGTAAGAGTGGGCAACCACATCTCATCCACCATCACCATTAATACAGGAGCACCGCAGGGCTGTGTCCTCAGCCCAGTACTTTTCACCCTATTCACACATGACTGCAAACCCATTCACCCTTCCAACTCTATAGTGAAGTTTGCTGACGACACCACAATAATAGGACAAATCTCAGGTAACAACGAGTCTCACTACAGAGAGGACGTCCAACACCTAATCAACTGGTGTGTCAATAACGATTTGGTTCTGAACACCTCCAAAACAAAAGAGATCGTTGTTGACTACAGAAGAGCAAAAAGGACACCACCAACCCCCCTCCACATAAATGGCGAGGAAGTTGAGAGGGTAAACAACATCAAATTCCTAGGCCTACATCTGACAAAAGATCTCACATGGACCATTAACACCACCCACTTAGTGAAGAAAGCTCAACAGAGACTTTTCTTCTTAAGAAAACTCAAGAAAACAAAAGTACCGACCCAGCTCTTACTAAATTTCTACAGGAGCACGATAGAGAGCATCCTCTGTCACTGCATCACAGTGTGGTACACAAGCTGCACTGCGGAAAACCGGAGAGCTCTATCCCGGACTGTTAAGACTGCACAGAGGATCATAGGAATTAAACTCCCAACCCTCGATACAGTCTACGCTAGCCGCCTACAGAGGAGAGCTAGCAACATCATTAAGGACCCTACTCATCCAGGACACAAACTTTTTGCACTACTCCCATCAGGGAAAAGATATAAAGCAATTAAGACTCGCACAAACAGGCTAAAGAGCAGCTTCTTCCCCAGAGCTGTAGCCTGTGCCACCCCTCCTCTCTGTACACATTAACAATCACCCCCCCCCCCTCCCTCACTCCCTACCTTTCTGATGTTCTGCTGCTAATGCACAAAGACACTTTATGGACATTCATGTTTGCACTCATTTGCCATAATGTAAATACTGTGACTATTACACTTAGTATATTTTTATCTTACATCTTATATTTTTAGTATTATGTCTATTGTTGGTTTTTATGTGACTTATTACATTTAGTATACTTTATCTTGCCTCTTATATTTTAGTATTATGTCTATTGTTTGTTTTTCTCTCTTTTTATGTTGCTGCTGGTCTCTGTGAGTTACCAAACAAATTTCGTTGTACAACTACAATGACAATAAAGTTCTTTACTTTACTTTACTTACTTTACTTGTGTGTGAGTGCAAAATGCGCCAAAGCCCGAAACTGAAAGCGAGACATGACTTTTAAGGGGCTGTTTCATATGGATTTATTAATCATTCTTACTGTTCAGTAAACGCAAACTGCCGTAGTTTATTAAAGACGAGAACTCCTCACAGCACGGCAGCTGCACCTTCAGCAGACCTCCTCATTCCTGCAGCACGAGAGCTTTTTGATTGTTTATGAGCGCAAAAAGTGGCGGATCTGTTCGGCGAAATATCTGACTGCGTGTCATCGCATCCCTAAGGACTGTTTGGCGAAATATTTGACTGCATAACAAATTACTGAAAGGATATAACTAGAGAAATCTCCACTGTGCTACTGGGTGAGAGCGTATGGCAAGCCGTTTTAGCATTTAAATCTTTGTTCTGACTCCATAAATATATTTAGATATATCTCTAATTATATTTTGACTAGTCATAATTATAATTGGACTAGTCAGAATGACAATTAGAGATATCTGCAATTACAATTGTACTAGTACGAAATCAGATTAGAGATATCTGCAAATATATTATGACTAGTCATATTCCTCCATTGACTTCCATTGAAAAATATTTGCAGATATCTCTAAATGAGTTTTGACTAGTCACAATCGTAATTAGAGATATCTCTAAATGAATTATGATTTTAATATCCATAAAGATATTTGTTGAGTTCTAAAAAATACACTATTCATTCATGAACTTCAGAATTGTACACACAAACCCCAAATGGAAATTTTCCTAGTCTATCTGTGTTTTAACCAATCAGGTTAGAGCACCTATATGTATGACGCAGTTAATGACGTTATGTGAGAGTATAATTGTTATTGATTGGTGATTGTAAGCAGAGCGGCCTGGGAACTCATTGCGAGTGTTGAAGCTGGCTTCTGCTACTGAAACTGCAAACTATCTTCAGTAAACTTGATTTATTTATTTAAATCTCTGACTCCGGCTCTTCTTCATCTAGCAGACTGGTCATTCTTTGGGTCAAACTGTAAACTATCCCTACAATAATATTATGAATAATGCTGGAAACATGTAACCATTGACATCCACAGTTGTTTCCTCCAATGGAAGTCGATGGTACCTGCTTTTTAGTTTTTTTGTACATTTTTGTGTTTAACAGAAGGATTAAAAAAAAAAGAACTCAAAAGTTTGAAAACACTTGAGTATAAAGTTAACAGTGAGTACATTTTCATTTTTGGGAAGTGAACTAATGCTTTAAGACAAATGAGAATGTAATGTAACATTAAGTATATCCCTGCTGAAAAAAAAAAACAGCTTAAACCAGCCTAGGCTGGTTTTAGCTCGTTGACAACCTGGTTTAAGAGGGGTTTTGGCCACTTCTAAGCTGGTTTCCAGCCATTTCGAGCCTGGTCTTAGCTGGTCAGGCTGGAAAATAACCATCTAAAACCAGCTACAAACAGCTTGAGCAGCCTGGCTTTAGCTGGATATAGCTGGTTTTGGCTGGTCATCTCCCAGCCTGACCAGCTAAGACCAGGCTGGAAATGGATGGAAACATATCTGGAAGTGGCCAAAACCCCTCTAAAACCAGCCTGTCTGACCAGTTAAAACCAGCCAACCAGCCTAGGCTGGTTTAAGCTGTTTTTTTTCAGTAGGATGTGCTGATATTCATGATATGCACTGTAAAAATGCTGGGTTCCACAATGTCTTCATGTCATCCCAAAATGAGTTAATTGTCTTTACAAATTTAAGTGGATTACACATAAAGCAATGAAGTTGTCCCCAAAATAGTCCAGAATTTTGTTGATTTAGCTCATTTTAAAAAGGATTTTGAACAGCAGAAATAATTTTCTGAGTGTAGACTGGAACTGAACTGCTTCATGCTAACTTGTTCAACAGTCATCATTTATTTTTGACAGTTACATCAAGAAATGAAGTATTTAATCATTATTCGTGTTACTCTCAGGAAAACATTTTTAGTGTAAGCACTTTATTACGTTCTTAAAGAGATACCCCAAAAATAGGAATGTATTGATCATTGACTCAACAGAGTGGTTACAAACATTTCTGAGTTCCTTTATTCTGAAAAAAAAACTTTGTAACCATTGATTTCCATATTAAAAAATGCTCTGTAAATCACTGGTTTCCTCCAAACATTTAAACAGGTTATTGTAATATTTTTGTGCGTGTTTAACAAAAAAAAATGATTGCAAGCAGATTTGAAACACGTGAGTTAAATGATGAATTTCAATTCCTCGGGGAACTGTCCCCCACGGGCTGTCGGCAGCGGAAAGAGGTGTGGCTCGAAGGGACGCTAGCTGATTGGTTTGTAATGTCTTCCGTTTCCAGCCAATAGCACAGTCGCTCGCTTTCTTTTAAAAAGGCGCACCACGGACATTCGTGTTATTGTTTCCTCAGGTGGCAAATCAGTTATATCTTGATCAAGATGAGCGGAAGAGGCAAAACCGGTGGCAAAGCCCGCGCCAAGGCCAAGACTCGCTCATCCAGGGCGGGTCTGCAGTTTCCTGTCGGCCGTGTTCACAGACTTCTTCGCAAAGGCAACTATGCAGAGCGCGTTGGTGCGGGAGCTCCAGTGTATCTGGCTGCTGTGCTCGAGTATCTGACCGCTGAGATTCTGGAGTTGGCTGGAAACGCCGCTCGTGACAATAAGAAGACCCGCATCATCCCCAGACACCTTCAGCTGGCTGTACGCAATGATGAGGAGCTGAACAAGCTTTTGGGTGGAGTGACCATCGCTCAGGGTGGTGTGCTGCCCAACATCCAGGCCGTGCTGCTGCCCAAGAAAACCGAGAAGGCCGCCAAGAAATAAACCGTTTAAGTTTTAAAACTAAAGGCTCTTTTAAGAGCCACCCATTTCCTCCTTAAAAGAGTGTTTTGCATTCAGGTGGAGCTGGTATTCACTGATACTGCTGAAAGTAAAGCAAAGTTTAGTACAAATTTGTTTTCTAAATCAAACCCTTTCGTCGAAGCTCAAATATGCCTCGAGTTCGTTTTATAATTCCTTTACAAGTCAAAAAGTTTATAAAATGCTTTACAGTTTGAGTTTAAAAGATCTCTAGGCAAAATTATATTGAATGTAAAAAAAAAAAAGAAAAGAGCTGATAGATTAAAACACTTCAATATAATCATTATGTCGCGCTGTAGATCTGATTTAAAGCTTAACGCTATATACTCTGCATTAAAACAACATTTACAATGTGCAGCAAACATTTACGTTTTTGATAATTTTCCATTTTCTGTTTATACAAAGGCGAAAATAATGCACATTTGGATAGAGATAAAGTTGGTTTTATATTCGCACATTCAGACTTTCCCCATAATACAATTTCATAAAATTATTATTTGCAAACTCTAAATAGTGAAATCCAATTTGCAGCCAATGACTATCAAAGTACATGGTTCACAGTCAAATAAACTGTTAGTGTTGTTTTCAAGTCGTACTTGCATGCTAATTCCGATTGAATATTCAAAGTAACATGGTAAACAATATAGACACTTCTAAATGAACGAATGTGCGAATATAAAACCAACTTTACCTCTATCACGCATGGGCGGGAACTTGTCTTTAAACGGATTTAAAAAGCAAAGGCGGTCATTGGTCAACTGTCGTAAAGCGAGAGCAAACAATAACCAGTCAAATCACTTGAATTCACGCCATCCAATAAGATCGTGGCAGCTACGCTTTAAATAGGCGACAACGTTGTCAGTAGTACGTACGTACTTGTCGGAAGAGAAGAACAAATCCTGATCTCGCAGCTATGGCAAGAACCAAGCAGACCGCTCGTAAATCCACCGGAGGAAAGGCTCCGAGGAAGCAGCTCGCCACCAAAGCTGCCCGTAAAAGCGCACCGGCCACCGGTGGTGTCAAGAAACCTCATCGTTACAGGCCTGGTACCGTGGCTCTGAGAGAGATCCGCCGTTATCAGAAATCCACTGAGTTGCTGATCCGCAAACTGCCCTTCCAGCGTCTGGTGAGAGAAATCGCTCAAGATTTCAAGACTGATCAGCGTTTCCAGAGCTCCGCCGTCATGGCCCTGCAGGAGGCCAGTGAGGCTTATCTGGTGGGTCTGTTTGAGGACACAAACCTGTGCGCCATCCACGCCAAGAGAGTCACCATCATGCCCAAAGACATCCAGCTGGCCCGCCGCATCCGCGGAGAGCGCGCTTAAATAGCTGCTGCACTAAACCCAAAGGCTCTTTTAAGAGCCACCCATATCTCCCTTTAAAAGACATTTTTTTGTGATTGTTTTAGTAAAAATAACTTTGTCTATTTTAAATGGTATTATAAATTACAGTTTGAAAACAAATATTTTATTACAGCTTTAAAAATGGTGAACATAAACCAATATTTACCGTTTCAGACATGGCTACTGAATAGGAAACAATACGTATAGAGAAAACACTTCAACAATGTTATTTTGCAATGATCGCAATAAACTGCGCTGTTTCTATAGTAATCCATTGATAACGCTATCTATATGCTTATAACGCTGTCTATAAAGCAAACATATGTTATTTAATGTTGTAGACATTTAATATTTGCAATGAATTATTACTGCTAAAAGGGGAAAAATCTGAAAAACGTTTTGGTGCAATGAGGTAATTTACGTCAAACACTAGGAAGTGGGCGGGGTCAATCTTTCAAAGCCTCTTATCTGCACACTTATATGTCATTGGTGGTTTGACCTGACCAATCAAGTCATTCCATGGGTAGGGCGATAGATAAACCAATCACAGGCTGCATTTTTCGAATTTGAAATTAGCATACGTGGTATATAAAAGCCAGTACTTTCTGTAGAGAAATTATTCCTTGGAGAGCCACATCAAGCATCATGCCTGAACCAGCGAAGACTGCACCCAAGAAGGGCTCCAAAAAGGCGGTAACCAAATCTGCCGGTAAAGGAGGAAAGAAGCGAAAGAGGACCAGGAAGGAGAGCTATGCTATCTACGTGTACAAAGTGCTGAAGCAGGTCCATCCTGACACTGGAATCTCCTCGAAGGCGATGGGCATCATGAACTCGTTTGTCAACGACATCTTTGAGCGCATCGCCGGTGAGGCGTCTCGTCTCGCTCACTACAACAAGCGCTCCACCATCACATCGAGAGAGATCCAGACCGCCGTGCGTCTGCTGCTGCCCGGGGAGCTGGCCAAACACGCTGTATCTGAGGGCACCAAGGCCGTCACCAAGTACACCAGCTCCAAGTAAAGCGCGGAGTCAACTCAATCCAAAGGCTCTTATAAGAGCCACCCATACTGTCTGTAAAAGGGTGTTTTTGTTAATTCCCCAACACCAAATAATGTATACGCAAATTTTATTATGTGACATTTATAAAATGTAAGTGCAGGAAAAATATCACAAGCATTTACCGTATATTAAAAGAATGATGTAAAACCACAGGAAAATAAGTGTGGATTAAACTTTTCAGCACTTTTTTTCACCAAATTTAAATAGATTCTCAAACATATCAGAACTTTTAATATAATGGCTTATATCACATTGATATACACTATAAACTATCTGGTTATTCAATTTTAAATATAATTAAAACATATTTTAAGTCTTGTGGAAACTATTGAAATAAAAAAAAAATGTGTTGGGATTTATTTTTTGCTTGCATATATTTAAAGGGTTAAAACATCCGAGCTTTGTTTAATTCTCATTTGATAAATTGTGTTGTTTTCTTTGTTGTTTACTTGCGTTGGCCATTTTTACTGCACAGTTGTGTTAAAGTGCAACGCTCTCCCAAATTCTTTTACCATCTTCAAAATAATGTTGACTCCCCCCAGTGTTAACCTCTTAATAAAACAATCTCTGCATTGCTAGATTTGATGAAATCTGCACTATTTACAGGAAAACAAGTGCGCTCAAAGGATTTTCAAAAAAGTGTGACATTAAATAAACCTAAACACAATTATATTTTCACAGTTAATCTATTAATAAAAGCGACAACTAAACTCAAATCAAATAGCTTCACAGAAAATGCTGGGTTTCACACAATTCATCCATGTTGTTCCAACAAAAACAGATTTTTAACTTAATTGTTTTTACCAAGGCAGGTGGATTGAACCTAACGTTTGGTGAGTTTGGTCCTATATCTGTCATTATATTTAAAATTGTACCATATTTATAACAATCCAGTAGGTAATATGTGTAATCTATAATGAGAGACAAAATTTTGTTATATGTAAAAAGACATTTAAGCAGTACAAAATAATAACAGAGGCATGTTGAGATGAAATAATCATGTTACTGTCATTAGATGTTTCAAAACTGCTAAACATTGCCACTAAACAATTAAATTACTAAACTGTATTATGATATGTAAAATTGACATTGTGAAACTACAAAGAAAAGATTGTCATAGACAAAGTAGACAGAGAAATCAACATCAAATTAGGAAAAAATTCAAACAACCAACGATGCAATAAAATTATACCTCAAAACACCACTGAAGGACCCAATAACTAGACACTATGTAACCATTTTACAGAAAACTGAAAATACAAGTAAAGATTATTTCACATCATGATTAAACAATACCCTATTTGGCATTACATGAACACTTAACAATTTTAACAGTTATCTTCTTTAAACTTTATACATACAATTTTGTTTGTATATATAAATATTACTTAAGAAATACAGAAGAGGCAAGCGATTAAAACCATACAGCAATTAGGCTAAATAAATCAAACTGGTATTGAAGTTTCTTCCTCTGTTATGACAAACTGGCTTTGGTCTACATCAGATGAAACTGTAGAACACAAAATTCATCTTCAAATTTTAGTTCAACACTTTATATTCACATTATCTTTTGTAAATATTGACATTATTTAACAAAAAGAGCAGACAGAAGTTTTACCTCTCGCTTCATGGATTTTGAAGAGCAGCATGACTGTCGCTAATAGATACGGACAAACAGCCAGAAGAAAACTGACAATCTTCACGACAGTTATCTGACCTGAAGTTGAGAAAACGAGAAACACAAATCATTAAAATGTTTTTAGTTCTGTATTAAAGTAAAAGTTCTCTCTTCAACTATTATTGTCCACATTTTAACAGTGTAGGATCTTTAATTTGTCCTAGCATCTGCAATCAGTTTGATTCATTTCTTTATGCAGTTTTGCTTTAATAAACTGTTTACCTGTGATTTTTATAAACTTCAGTGAATCAAAGCATTTGAAAAATTTCATTCTTATTTATTTAATGGTCTGCAAGCAGTAAAAAGATTTTAATAGTCTTTTTGTAATGAACTTTCTTCTTAGTCTAAAGGAAAAAGCTTATGATAAAGCCAGTCTGCAAAAATTAATCGTAACACTTTACAACAACAATTATTAATGATGTATTAATAAACTAAACATTACTTTATTATAAATTAATGACGAGTTAAGGCAAACGCTAATAATTAATTAACTTTAACTACAACTTGAGTTGCAAGTGTTCATGCAGCAACCTAATACTTATTACATGTTTTTAATTAAAGCATTATTTAACATTTAAGTTTAAGCTAAATGTAATCAGCATAAACTCATGAGCTGTTCATTTATAATTTTGTCATGACTTTACTTGGAGGGGCATTAACTCATCCTGAACTACTCATTAAAGTCAGCAGAAACTGAAAGCTGCGACCATTATTATTATTTTTTCATTCATTCAGAAGGATGAGGAAAACGGTTTGGGGTGAGTTATTACAAGCTAACAGACTTCCCTTGATCACCATTTCTGTTTGTTGTCTAAACTGACAGATGGAACAGCATGATTAAATATGTTAACCACACTAATTTGCGAAGATATACAGTTGTAGATATACAGATACACAAAGTCAGAATTATTAGCCTCCTCTTGATTATATATATATATATATATATATATATATATATATATATATATATATATATATATATATACACACACACACATATATATATATATATATATATATAAATATATATATATATATATATATATATATATATATATATATATATATATATATATATACATACATATATATATATATATACATATATATATATATATATACATATACATATACATATATATATTTCCCAAATTATATTTAACAGAGCAAGAAAATTTTCACAGTATGTCTGATAATATTTTTTCTTCTGGAGAAGATCTTATTTGTTTTATTTTAGCTAGAATATAAGCAGTTATTATGGTGGCTTGAAAAGCCAACATACTGTTATCTCACTTAAACTTATTATTATTAGGCTGGCTTGTGTAGCAAGCCAGACTACTGTTATCCTATTAAACTTATTATTATTATTATGGTGGCTTGAAAAGCCAACATACTGTTATCTCACGTAAACTTATTATTAATGGGGTTTGCCATAGGCAAAGTCCATTCTTACTATTGTGCCTGGTTTATTAATGGGGTTTGCCTTAGGCAAAGTCCATTCTTACTATTGTGGTTTATTAATGGGGTTTGCCTTAGGCAAAGTCCATTCTTACTATTGTGGTTTATTATTAATGGGGTTTGCCTTAGGCAAAGTCCATTCTTACTATTGTGGTTTCTTCTTATTATTATTATTCTTCTTCTTCCGTACGCTTTTTCGGCGCGTAACTAGTCCCGCAGCTTTCGTCCCAGACCCTTGAAAGTGGGTTCAAATCGTGCGGTCTTATCGGGAATGGTGTGCTATGACTTTTATAAGGGGTCGGGTTTTTGGCCCCGCAGGGGCCAAAAAACCCCCCCAAAAATCCCATAGACTTAACATTGAGCCGAACTTTGACGAATCACAGCGCCGAGTGTGAATTTCATAGAAGTATGGGATTCACAGCATCTGTAGGGGGTTGCAGCCTAAGTAAGAACATACCCCGCAAGGGGGTATAAGTTGTACCCCTGGGGCTCTAGGACGTCCCAAAGTGCTCCCATTGACTTACATTGGCCCATTGACTCCCATTCATTTTCTAGACACTCGTAAGATACTATTCCCGGAAATCGCCGTAGCGCCAACAGTGAAATTCGTAGAGACATGGGATTCGCGACATCTCGAGAGGGTTATAGGAGGCTTCAACCCACACCCCGAAAGGCGGTAAATGTTGTACCCCTGGGGAGCTAGGACGTCCCAAAGTCTCCATTGACTTTACATGGAGCCGAACTTTGACGAATCACAGCGCCGAGTGTGAATTTCATAGAAATATGGGATTCACAACATCTGTAGGGGGTTGCAGCCTAAGTGAGAACATACCCTGAAAGGGGGTATAGGTTGTACCCCTCGGGTGCTAGGACGTCCCAAAGTGGTCCCCATTGACTTTACATTGCCCATTGACTCCCATTCATTACATTGACCCCCATTATAAATGTCATATGTCAATCAAAGTACATAGCACTGTCATACAGACTTGGGGGTTGGCTTATTTGACTAAGGCAACCAATCAGCATCTCATTATGATTTTGAAGCTCACAAGCCACGCCCCCCCAAACCACTTAAAGACCCTTAATAAGTGCCCCATTGACTTAACATGGGGTGGGATGTCCCATTGCAGATCCCATTGACTTCCATTATAAAGGTCACACATCTATAACATTACATAGGAGTGTCATAGAGACATGGGGGTGGGCTCATCTGACTCAGACAACCAATCAGCATCTCAATATGATAATGAAGCTCACAAGCCACGCCCCCAAACTGGTCCCATAGACTGCCATTATAACTGCCCTACATGCATATCTTTGCTTAGCAGTGTCCTATTGACTTGGGGGATGGCTCATCTGACTCAGACAACCAATGAGCATCTCGATATGATAATGAAGCTCACAAGCCACGCCCCCAAATTGGTCCCATAGACTTCCATTAAAATCGGCCTACATGCATATCTTTGCTTAGCAGTGTCCTATTGACTTGGGGGTTGGCTCATTTGACTTGGACAGCCAACCACATTCAAGTTCACTCTGTAACCTCGCCCATAGCAACAAAACAGAGTACCCTAGCAACCATTCATCAACAGCTATATCTCGGCATCAGAACATCGTAGAGACTTGGGGATTGGCTCGTTTGACTCATGCTAGCAAACGGAACTTCCTGTATGCTACACATGCTAGCAGTGACTAGCTACATGCTAATATTGACTAGCCAAGTACTGTAACTTGCTAGAAATGCTCACTAAGTATAAATATTTCATCAGGCATGTATGTGAGGCTTGCCTAGTAACCACCCAGGGTACCCTAGCAACTGCCTAGCAACCACCCAAATTACCCTAGCAACCGCCTAGCAACCACCTAGCAACCGCCTAGTAACGCCTTAGTAAGGGCCTAGCGACCACTCAGGACACCCTAGCAACCGCCTAGCAACGCCTTAGCAACCACTCAGAATACCCTAGCAACCACCTAGCAACACCTTAGCAACCACCTAGCAACCACTCAGGACACCTTAGCAACCGCCTAGCAACACCTTAGCAACCACCTAGCAACCACTCAGGACACCTTAGCAACCGCCTAGCAACACCTTAGCAACCACCTAGCAACCACTCAGAACACCCTAGCAACTGCCTAGCAACGCCTTAGCAACCACTTACAATACCCTAGCAACCACCTAGCAACACCTTAGCAACCACCTAGCAACCACTCAGGACACCTTAGCAACCGCCTAGCAACACCTTAGCAACCACCTAGCAACCACTTAGGACACCTTAGCAACCACCTAGCAACACCTTAGCAACCACCTAGCAACCGCTTAGAACACCCTAGCAACCACCTAGCAACACCTTAGCAACCACCTAGCAACCACTCAGAACACCTTAGCAACCACCTAGCAACCACTCAGGACACCCTACCAACGCCTTAGCAACCACTTAGAATACCCTAGCAACCATCTAGCAACACCTTAGCAACACCTAGCAACCACTTAGGGCACCTTAGCAACCACCTAGCAACACCTTAGCAACCACTCAGAATACCCTAGCAACTGCCTAGCAACCACTCCGAACACCCTAGCAACCGCCTAGCAACACCTTAGCAACCACTTAGCAACCACTCAGAACACCCTAGCAACCACCTAGCAACCACTCAGGACACCCTAGCAACCGCCTAGCAACATCTTAGCAACCACCATTTCTTACCTTTCCAGTGCTATTGCCCAGTTTAGTACCATTTTGTACCCCATCGATTTGCCACGCAAACCCCATTCACATTTCCTTTAGGAAATGTACAATTCTAGTTAGTGGGGTTTGCCTTAGGCAAAGTCCACTATTGTTATTCTCCATACTTATTATTATTATTCTTCTTCTTCCGTACGTTTTTCGGCGCGTAACTCGTCCCGCAGCTTTTGTCCCAGACCCTTGAAAGTGGGCTCAAATCGTCCGGTCTTATCGGGAATGGTGTGCTATGACTTTTATAAGGGGTGGGGGGTTTTTTGGCCCCGCAGGGGCCAAAAAACCCCCCCCAAAATCCCATAGACTTAACATTGAGCCGAACTTTGACGAATCATAGCGCCGAGTGTGAATTTCGTAGAAATATGGGATTCACAACAGCTGTAGGGGGTTGCAGCCTAAGTGAGAACATACCACGCAGGGGGGTATAAGTTGTACCCCTGGGGGGCTAGGACGTCCCAAAGTGGTCCCATTGACTTAACATGGGCCCATTGACTCCCATTCATTACATTGACTCCCATTATAAATGTCACATGTCAATCACAGTACATAGCAGTGTCATACTGACTTGGGGGTGGGCTCATTTGACTCAGGCAACCAATCAGCATCTCATTATGATTTTTAAGCTCACAAGCCACGCCCCCCCAAACCACTTAAAGACCCCTAATAAGTGCCCCATTGACTTAACATGGGGTGGGATGTCCCATTGCAGATCCCATTGACTTCCATTATAAAGGTCACACATCTATAACATTACATAGGAGTGTCATAGAGACATGGGGGTGGGCTCATCTGACTCAGACAACCAATCAGCATCTCAATATGATAATGAAGCTCACAAGCCACGCCCCCAAACTGGTCCCATAGACTGCCATTATAACTGGCCTACATGCATATCTTTGCTTAGCAGTGTCCTATTGGCTTGGGGGATGGCTCATCTGACTCAGACAACCAATGAGCATCTCAATATGATAATGAATCTCACAAGCCACGCCCCCAAACTGGTCCCATAGACTGCCATTATAACTGGCCTACATGCATATCTTTGCTTAGCAGTGTCCTATTGACTTGGGGGTTGGCTCATTTGACTTGGACAGCCAACCACATTCAAGTTCACTCTGTAACCTCGCCCATAGCAACAAAACAGAGTACCCTAGCAACCATTCATCAACAGCTATATCTC